GACTCTTACGCTTCTTCTTCTTCTTAGCTACTAAACTAGCAGGAAACTAGCGCTTCCGAGCGGTACTAGGGCGAGCAGTACCGACAATCTAAGGCTCGATATTATTATTATCTAAGAAGTCTCCTTTATCTTCTAGTCGAAAGAACTAGCTACCTTTAGCACTAGCGGCTTTAGCCTCGACCTTATTATCGCTTATCTTATTATCCTAATCCTTAGTCTCGTAATTATCTTTATCTGTTTCCTCCTCTTTATCCTCGACAATAGGTAGCGCGACGTTAGCGTGCAGACCTATACGGCGCTCTTAGCGGGTTGGAACAACTAGAGCTAGCGCTATCGGAAGGCCGTGTTCTGCTGCTATGTCTTCAAGCTAGTCTAATAGTAGCGCTAAGAGCTCGCTCGTCTAGTAAGGGCTATGTTCTGCGAGGCTATATTCTGCTACTATGTCTTTAAGCTAGTCTAATAGTAGCGCTAAGAGCTCGCTCGTCTAGTAAGGGCTATGTTCTACGAGGCTATATTCTGCTACTATATCTACAAGCTAGTCTAATAGTAGCGCTAAGCCGAGCTCGCTCGTATCGAATGCATTATATTGCTATAGTAGCACAGGCAAGCTAGAAGGCTCTGTTAGTAGCGGCTTATCGTCTATATCGGCTATAATAGTGTCGCTATCGTCCGATATTGTCGCTAGATTGAATACTAGATTAAATACTAGATTGAGTGCTAGATTGAGTGCTAGATTAAGTACTAGATTGAGTGCTAGATTGAGTGCTAGATTAAGTGCTAGATTGTTGCGACAAGATTAATAGCGACGGCGTCGAAGGAACAGGTTGTAATAGAAGCGACTAGTGCCCGCGAGCGACGCGTTATAAGCAAATATATAAAGACGCACGGACTAGAAACATGTATAAAGTCGATAAAGCTAGGCCTTAGTATATAGCAAGAAGTGACCTCCGCTCTTTAGATACAATACAATACTACGGTGTCGCACACATATATACTAAACGGGGATTATTATAGAATTGGCACCGCTAGGACCTCCGGGTATTTCTATGTTATATAGGCTGTATCTTAAAATAGGTGTTTTTAGTAAGACTAAGTCTATTACTAAAGCCGGCTTTTAGCTAGGCAGTACCGTCGGCTTATAAGCTATAATATAACAACCTAACGTCGCATTAATATAATTTTTGGATAGAATAATATCCGATTACCTACTCTACGCCCGCATTACAAAATATTAATGTATATCGCGTTGTATACAAAGTCGCAAAATAGGGATCTTAAATCTAATCCGATCGCTAGTTTTGCTATTAGACCCTTGCTGCGCAAGGGGTTTATAAATAAACCGGTAGCTCGTGCGCTCTTAGCAAGGGTCTAATAGGAGATAGCCGTAGCTATTATTGCTGCTATTGTTAGTCGAGCGGTTAGTATTATAGGGATACGAGCCCCTTCTACGGCCCCTATCGCGGCCTCCTCTATATAGCCGCCGGCTACGGCCTCTTCTACGATCGTTACTATTCCTATTGTTAGTATTGTTGTCCTAGTAGGAACCTTAGTTTCCTCCGCGGCTACTACAGTTGCTACGGTTAGTACTAGCTAGTCGGATCCTTAATTCTAGTCGCTATTAGAGCTAAACAGCCCGTTCGGCTGTTTCTACTTCGACTATGAATTAAATGCGCGTTAGATTAGTCTGTTCGAACACGCGACGACGGTCTAATTTAAGGACTAATTCCTATCGCAATTTAGGGCGTATTTCGGAAATCTAGATAGAGTCGGTCTTAGCTAGCAAATCGTCTTCGAGGGTCTTTAAATAGGCCTTAAATAAGCGAGCCGATTGATTAGTCTTTTGTTTAGCTCGAAGGTATTAGTCCTAAGCGTGTTATTGCCTTAGTATAGGGTTTCTAAGGGTGTCTAGCATAATAGTCTTATAGTCTTGCTACTAAATAGCGGTCTAATTAGTAAGAGAGTCGAAATGGTTATCCTAGGTGCGCTTTAGGTCGCTATTGATGTACTATATAGCGTAGACAACTAGTAAATAGTCGTCTAGAAGGGCCCTCGGCGCATTTCGTTAGTTAAGCTTATAATCGCGTATATAATTATTATATTGCTTGCGACTAGAGCCGTTAAATACGGTACAGTCCTTAAGCTTAGTATCCTTCTTTTAGATAGGGACGGGTAGTAAGGAAGGCCCTACTATCGGCTTAGTATTAGTTAATAGGGCTTCCTATAGGCGGCGGATCTCGAGGAGATTATCCTTTAGCTATTATTCTTAACGTAGGGCAGTAAGCCTGTTTTAGGTAGCTTCTTAAAGTCTCCCTACTAGTTAAGGACTAAAGGCTAGTTAGCTATATCGACGATTAACAATATTGTTAAGAATATCGTCGATAGGCAATTCTAGGTCGTTACCTAGAACTATAGGTTCTTCGGCAGGCCTAGTAGTAGGCTCTTTAGTAGGCACCTTAGCAGGTGCTTTAGCAGGCACTTTAGTAGGTACTATGCTACTAGCGTTGTTATTGCTAGCGCTGCTAGCGGCAGCACGGTTGTTGTTGCTTTGTAATAAGCCGGCTATTGTAATAGGGGGTAACACTAATAATGTATTATTAGCCCCTAAGATACGGAAGTAGCGGAATTAGTAGATATCGGTCTAGTATACTTAACTTAGTATAATAGGCCGTATAGAAGGCCTTGCTTAATAATTGGTACGGTTGTTTTAGTAGAATAGTACGTATAGGTCCCGTTCTTCGGGCGTAATATAGTTAGATTAGTCTTGTTCGTAGCTATACCGCTAAAAGCTTGAAATAAGAACTATCTAGCTACTACCCTTAAAGGGTAGATCGAATACTATATAAGAAGGGTATATTAGTAGGTAGATAGGGTAGTAGTAGGTATAGGTAGTATTCGATAGAGAACTAGGAGGAGAAGGAGGAAGGCAGGCTAGTTAGCCTAACGCTAAGCGCTAAGCCCTGCCTAAGGCACTAAGACCCTAGCTTCACTCGAGCTAGTTATATGCCAATTACGTGTAGCCTCTAACAATAGCTCGTTCGGCTGTTTCTACTTCGACTATAAATTAAATACGTATTAGATTAGCCTATTTAAATATACGGCGGCGGTCTAATTCGAGAATAAGCTCCTACCTAAGCTTAGGGCATATTTTAGAGATCTATATAGAATTAGTCTTAGCCGGAAGGTTATCCTCGAGGGTCTTTAAATAGGCCTCGAATAAGCGAGCCGATTAATTAGTCTTTTGTTTAGCTCGAAGGTACTAGTCCTAAGCGTGTTATTGCCTTAGTATAGGGTTTCTAAGGGTATCTAGTATAATAGTCTTATAGGTTTTCTACTAAATAGTAGTCTAGTTACTAAGGGAGTCGAAATGATTATCCTAAGTGCGTTTTAGGTCGCTATTAATATACTATATAGCGTATACGACTAAGGAATAGTTATCTAGTAGCGCTCTTAGTACGTTGCGCTAGTTAAGCTTATAGTCGCGAATATAGTCGTTATATTGCTTCCGACTAGAGCTATCGAATATAGTACAATCCTTAAATTTAGTATCTTTCTTCTATATAGAAGGTCCTACTACTAGTCCTAGTTTAGCAGTAGTTATTAGGGCTTCCTATAAGCGTCGAATCTCGAGGAGATTATCCTTTAGCTATTGTTCTTATCGTAAGGTAGTAAGCCTATTCTAAGTAGCTTCTTAAAGTCTCGCTACTAGCTAAGGGCTAAAGGCTAGCTAGCTATATCGTCGATTAACAATATTGTTAAGAATGTCGTTAATAGGCAATTCTAGATTATTACCTAGAATTATAGGTTCTTCTTTAGTAGGCCCTCTAGTAGGCTCTTCGGTAGGAGGTACTTTAGTAGGTACTTTAGCGGGAACTATGCTACTAGCGTTGTCGTTGCTAGCGCTGCTAGCGGCGCCGCGGTTATTATTGCTTCGTAATAAGCCGGCTATTATAAGGGGTAATACTAATAATATATTATAGGCCTCTAAGATGCGGATATAGCGGAATTAGTAGATATCGGCTTAGTGCGATTAACTTAGTATAATAGGCCGTATAGAAGGCCTTACTTAATAATTAGTACGGTTGTTTTAATAGAATAGTACGTATAGGTCCCGTTCTTCGGGCGCAATATAGTTAGATTAGTCTTGTTCGTAGCTATACCGCTAAAAGCTTGAAATAAGAACTATCTAGCTACTACCCTTAAAGGGTAGATCGAATACTATATAAGAAGGGTTATATTAGTAGGTAGATAGGGTAGTAGTGAATTAGTATAGTATTCGATAAGGATCTAGGAAGAGAGAGAGGAAGGCAGGCTAGTTAGCCTAACGCTAAGCGCTAAGTCCTACCTAAGGCACTAAGACCCTAGCTTTACTCGGCCTAATTATATACTAATTACGTATAGCCTCTTTAGCCCTAATAAGTTACGCGCTAGGTAGGCTTCGCGCTAGCGGACTAGTAACATAGTATACGTAAAAATATTATATAGCTATTATATAAGATTTACTAGGATAGAATAGGAGACTTTACTTACTTAGGTTCTTATAGAAATGCTTTAGTAATTAAACCCTCGCTATACGCTTCTTCTATATCCGAGTCTAGTTACTACCTTATATTCGCTTTAGATATCTTCTATAACTCTCTTTATAAGCTCTTCGAGTTATTCTAGATACCTTCCGCTTTACTAGAATAATAACGAACTTAATCTTATTAACCTTAGAGAGTCTAAAAAGTTAGAAAGCTTAGCTTAGGTAAATTAGTTTAATTTCCGATTTATCGAGGTTAAGTATATCTAAGATCGAGTATATCTAAAGTCGAGTATATCTTAAATTCTATATTAAGATATAGAAACAATTATAAATCTATTATCTATTATCTTAAAGATATAAACAAGATTGCAATGTCTATCGAATCCTAGCAGTTTAAAGAGTTAAAAAATAGCAAAAAAAGCATATAAGACATCGCTAATGCCTTATACCTATAACGAGCAGCAAGGGGCTCGAACCCTCAACCTTTGGTGTTTTCTGAACCGAAGTTCTGAACCGTAGTTCTGAAACGAAGTTCTTAACCGAAAACCAACGCGCTACTGCAAGGATGTCAACTATAATTTCCAATAATATCGTTAACTTAGAGTGACGAACCCATTGCGCCAACCACCCGGCTTCTGATTGGACGGCTCGGAAAATAAAACGAATATATCCTACATTTTCACAGCCTCGTTCTGAGAAATACAATCTCTGGACCTGGAAATCTGTGAGACGAATGCGTGGCTTTTGGAAGTACTACTCAGTATCCTAAATAGAGGTCAGAGAACTTCAATATCCGCAAGACATTGCTGCCCCGACAAGAACGGGCATAGTCAGCTGCCTACCCACTCCCACCTGTCTAATGTGAAGTCCAGCAGAAGAAATACATAACTTGGACGCAGACAGGTTATCATGCCTGATCCTCTCAGTAAGCAAAGCAGCCACAGTAGCGGAGAATTTTCACCGTCTGGCCAACGTCACAAATCTCAACGACTCTTACTAAATTGGATTTTGTCTTGCAAGAACGTACGAGGTTCCGACTGGTGTATTGCTACCTAAGCTGCGAGATGAAATCTTTCGTGCCTCCTACTCTCGGGGTGTTTGATCTTGCTGTGGTTCAATCCATCCTCTTCCTAGACCAAATTGAAGAAGAAAATGTGTATCGCTCAGGACGAGCCGTAGATTATTTTGCGCACGCATGCGGCCTGATCAACACTATCGATCTGATAAGAGTTGCTTGTGTCCCATGGTGGTGCTCCTTTTGTCCTGTGACAGCTGACCGTCCCAATGCAAATCAAAAGATCGTCGGGCATTCCTACGCTTTCTATGCTCTTTGAAGAACTCTTGTTTGTATCATATCCTGCTTTCCATGATCAGGTGCAAAGATCAAGTTTGAGGTCGTGCTTGCAGATGGGATGGAGTCATTAGATCTTGTCATCAATGTTCTCCGCATGTTTGTCAATGACGCAGGAACTTGCTACAGCCTTGAACAGCGTGTAGAAGCACTCAGAAGAACAAATTCAGACCGATCCTAAGGTCAGAAGAGCCGTGTTCCTTCTTCGAGTCTTGAGATGGGAAGGTAGCTAGAGCTATGAGCTTCGACATCGAGATTGATGTGCGCGCGCGCCAGCCGCCGGGAGCAGTTTGAAGTTGCTGGTCTTGATATATTATCCGCTTGCGGGCTTTGTCGATCTCAAATGGCACTTCCATAGCACTCCCACGGGAGAGCTGCGACATCCGTTCTCGGGCGTATGGTGGTATCGAGGGCTCTGGGCTGGAAGATCATGGGCAGCGACGGGCTGTGTCTTCTACCATTGTGGCGCGTTTGATACGGTACATCAAGTATGTAAAATTGAAGTTAAGTGCAATTGCAACGATTTCTCGTCGCCCTGGGCCGTTGTAGTATGCTACGCGATATCAGCATCACAATCCTCTCTTGCTGCCCGCAGGAGTGTGTACTTTTATGTGAGATGCATGAGCAAAGACTGCGAAACACGAATTGCAATAATGCTTACTGGATCAAATGGTTGAGAGACAATGCGAAGGAATGAATTTTGCATGTGACACGAGAAAATGAGCTTTTTATCATTTCATACGACATCTCAATGTGGTGAATGTTGCTTCATTTTGCAGTCAGAAGTCAAAATCGACTGACGCTCAGGTTTTCGAGGGTCGCAGGTCTTTTGATGCCAATTCCACGGAACAGGCTGCTCGGTACTGAGATTCTGCCAAACTCAACGAGAATGAACCGTCAGCGAAGCCCATGCAACGAGAGATATGGGTAACAGGAAGACACGGGTGTACTGGGGGTAGAGTTGTGATCAGAATGCGCCTCAATATGTTTGCATCGATTATCAACCACAATGCCGAAAGTATGCGCCAAGAAGCAAAACCGGCAAACAATGCCCACGCCGATGCTCGCTGAAAGTCAAAGCGGAAAGCGACCTCTTATCACCATCCACAAGCTAGGCCCGAGAACTCCAATGTGCGTGGTTGAGTACGTAGACATATAGTAATAAGAGAAAACATTAAGCCATATCTGCCATTAAAGTCGAACTCTGGAGATCCAGTCCTCGATCTCCGGGTCATTCCAGAGTTTGGTATCCTCGACTTCCTTCTAGTAAGTCTCAGAATCTGCGCGATTATGGCCGTGTCGCGCCGATCCATCCATGTTGCCGACAGCATGTCCCCCGAGACTGCGGTCCACACGATCTCGATCGTCGAAAATAAATGGCCCAGCGTCGTTCCTTGGCGTCATTGGTCCATCGTGTACGGGCCCGCCAGGTGACAGTGCGAATTGCGTGTGAGTGGTAGGTGTTGCGGATCTTGCTCCGTGGAGCTCGTTGGGTGTCCGCGATCCAGATTTGGGCGGAGCGATGTCTATTGGCCGGGTACCGAGAGCTCCAGAGCTTGCTCGTGATCGATGGTTCGGTGGCCTTGAAGCGCCTGCTCCTGCTTGCCGCGCTGGTACTAGAATGTTGCGAGCAGGCGGTGAAAGGGTAGATTCCTGAAGAAGTCGGGAGAGCTCTGCCTCCATCTCCGATTGGCGACTGTCGCGTTCAGGTGGAGGTGGTGTGTGGTACCGTTGGTGTTCATCGCCCTCGCCATCGCTGTTACTGTAGGTGGGATTTCCTTCCGAAGATGCTCTCGACTCGACCCTGCTGTCTCCTTGCCCTGGTGAAGATGCTTCAAGCTCGGCATGTTCCTCTATCCGATCGTCGAAGTCAGCATCCATCACTTGCTCCACATCGACGTCTGCATCGAGATCAGACACCAATCTGCAGTTAGGGCAATTGAAATTGGGCCATGCCGGACCATTGATATAGTTTCGCACGCACTTGAAGTGCCAAACGTGACTACAAGGCGCGACGAAAAGGGCCTGACAGGGTGCGACAGGGTTGAGGCAAATGGAGCATTCCGAGCTGTTCACACTAACAGCATCTGAATCGCGTCCAGCCCCGCCTTTTGGCTTGAGCGCATTCTTAAAGAGCTTCTTGTGGGTCGAGGTATTGAAGCTGTTCAGAGCCTTCTGCCAGCCTCGATTGCATTCTATGCGGATCTTGACGCAGCGAAAGATAGCCTCCTCGCCGCCTTTGAAGTCGATGCCGAGCTGGACCACGTCTCCATCGTTCACGGGGTAGGGTCGACTTTCAGCGCCAGGGCTCGACAATCGGACGTGGTTCAAGAATGTGCCTGAACTGGATTTCACGTCTTTGACATACCACTGTCCTTCATTGCACCAGAACTCGCAGTGTCTTCTGCTCACCACTTTGCTCTTAAAGCCCACGACGTCGCCGGAAGCATTGTCTCGCTCACTGTATCGGCCAACGCGTACAACGCTATTTGGTGTTTTGAGTTGGCGCGATACTGCTGCAAACTGTAGTGACGGTCGATGGTTCGTACGTGTTTCGACATGTGGTATGAAACGGATGGTGGGCAGCTGGTCTTTGCTCTGTCCTGCAGGCGGTGTTGAAGACTCAGGCATCGTGCTCGACGATTCCGCAGCTCCATTGCCAGCTTCAGTTGCGGAGGCTCTCCGTGCCGTGGTATTGGCCATGGCAGTTGGGCCTTGTGAGCTGGCAGTGCGACTCCTCGTCATATCGGCAGCGGTGGTACTCGGCTCAGGAGACGCCGACTCGGTGGAAGTGGAAGTTGGGTGCGGCGACTGTCGGTTGAGGCCGCTCCTGCCCTGTATCGTCGGTATCCAGCCGTTCTCTGCAGACTGGATTGTCGACGGCGGCGGGGCGGCAGGTTGGCGATTACCCCGCTCTGTACTTGCACTTGATGGCGGCTGTGGTGGTGATGGCGCCTGCCTTTCGTGACCGGGGGTGTCTGGATTGGAAGTCGAGCGCAACAAGGGCGGGATGGGGGGCGGAGGTGTTTCTGCGCGGTGCAGATGGTTGTGGGTGTAGCTGCGCAGATACGACAGGCCGCGCAGTCGGCTGGGTCGAGGGGGCGAGGACGGGGTAGGGCTAGGGCTAGTGGTAGCGGTAGCGTTGGCGGCAGCGGTATATACGGAGGCTGTAGCAGGGCCGGCGGAATTCAGCATCGCTGGACGGCTGTGTGCATGCAACAAGGCGTCGGGTGTATGTGCACTGATTATGCAGTATGCTGTGTTTGCTCGAGGGCGCCTCCTTCAGCCTGTCTTGACCGGGGACACTGCGGCGGGTCACGCTGTACGCATCAACGCGCAATTCGATGGAGGGTGGCGTTCAAATGCCTGGGAGGAACAGGAGAGGGCGAAATGCTGGCGTATGGCGTATGGCGTATGGCGTATCTGCAGCGGCCTGTCGAGGCAAAGAGGCCAAATCGATGCTCGAGGGGTTTGGCCTGGCCTGGCTTGGTTGGCGGTTGGCGGAGAGTTGGGAGTTGGGGCCGAGGATGGTGCCTCGATACCAATTCATATGCTGAGCTGCTTACACGGCAGATTATTATTGCAGCACGCACACGCAGCAGATGGCACTCATCATGCGCGATGGAGACGACGGCCGCGGCCTCACCGAGCAGCACTGCTGTGAGCTGACGTCGCCTGCGAGCTGTCGAGAGTTGAACCACGAAACCCAACAACGCCTGGGGGACTTGTAAGTTGTCGGAGATCTATCATGGTCACATGGAAATTGCAACAACAGGCACGTGCTATTCTAGGTTGCCGGCGCGCATGCTATCTCGCATCCCCAAGGGCCAAGGTGTGACGGTGTGTTTTGATGCAAAGTCAACCGTTGCCCATCTCCGTGGGCGGTCAGGACAACCTGTTACAGCGGTGGCCATTGTCCCATGCTATGCCGTCTATCGTAAGCACGCAAGCAAATGCTAACTTAGGTGCATGCAGTGCTTGATCTGGAATCGCAGCTGTTCATCGACTGACGACCGCGGGAGGCTTGCCGTCGTGCCGAGCCGCTGATCAGAGTTTGAGCGTTCGGGGGTGAGGCGAGCCTGGCGAGGCGTAGGCGATGGCAAGATTTCACGACGCACTGTTTCTGATCCCCGGCCGTCGTGCACTATCCACTACCACATGCTGCGCATGCTGCGCTTGCCGACAATGACCAAATCGCGGGCACTGGCACTGCCGCGACATATATCCAGAAGCGCACAGTCAACATTACGCAGACCAGGTCGATTGCGGCAGTACGCAACCACATCGAGAACCGCGCCGCCCAGCGAAAAAGAGCCTGCCGACCTTGACCAGATCACCACCCTGCCTAACGGGATCAGAGTAGCTACAGAAGCGCTGCCAGGCCACTTCTCTGGAATCGGTGTATACATAGACGCGGGATCACGATACGAAAATGCCGCTCTCCGCGGAGTGTCGCATATCATCGATCGCCTGGCGTTCAAGTCGACCACAAAACGAACATCAGATCAGATGATAGAGACGATGGAGTCACTAGGTGGAAACATCCAGTGCGCATCTTCAAGAGAGAGCTTAATGTACCAATCTGCCACTTTCAACTCCGCCGTGCCAGAGACCGTCGCCTTGCTGGCCGAAACGATAAGACATCCAAACATTACCGAAGAAGAGGTGGCCAGGCAGCTAGAGACCGCAGACTATGAAATTGGCGAGATCTGGGGCAAGCCGGAATTAATTCTGCCAGAACTGGTGCACATGGCAGCATACAAGGACAATACTCTTGGCAACCCATTACTTTGCCCGAAAGACAGGTTAGACCAGATCAACCAGCGGACTGTGGAAGCATATCGCAGAGCCTTCTTTCGACCGGATAGAATAGTTGTTGCCTTCGCAGGAGTACCGCACAACCATGCCATCAAGCTTGCCGAGCAATACTTTGCCGACATGACCGATCCGCTGGCCACCAAGGCTTCATCGCTCGCGCCACAAGCACAGCAAGTGCAGCCGCCATATCCAGCATCACAAACGCCACATCAACAGGATTCCCGACTGATGTCCAAAATCCCCTTCTTCAAGAACCTATCGACATCCGCCTCGCAGAAAGCCACAGTATCTCCTCTCGATCCGTCGCAGATCATTCCACACCCACTCGACCAGCCAATTGACTACAACGTACCAGCACAATACACCGGCGGATTTCTTACGATGCCACCTCTACCCATCCCACCTAATCCCTCTCTTCCACGAATCTCACACATCCACCTCGCGTTCGAGTCACTCCCGATCGACTCGCCAGATATCTACGCACTTGCTACGCTGCAGACCCTTCTCGGTGGTGGCGGTTCATTTTCAGCAGGAGGCCCCGGAAAGGGCATGTACAGTCGATTATACACGAACGTGCTGAACCAGTATGGTTGGGTGGAAAGTTGCGTCGCTTTCAATCACGCCTATACCGACTCCGGGCTCTTTGGCATTTCGGCAAGCTGTGCGACTGCCTTTGTACCGCGTATGTTGGACACCATGGCTCGTGAACTGAGCCTCCTCAGCACAGAGACCGGACTCGGCAAGCTATCGGAGATTGAGGTAAAGCGTGCCAAGAACCAACTCCGCTCGTCCTTACTCATGAACTTGGAATCAAGAATGGTCGAGCTGGAAGATCTCGGGAGACAGGTGCAGGTGCACGGTCGTCGTATTCCTGTCAGGGAGATGACTGCAAATATTGAGAACGTCACCATGGCCGATCTTCGACGCGTAGCAAAGCAAGTCTTTGGTGGCCAAGTCCATAACCGCGGCCAAGGATCTGGTGCACCCACAGTCGTGCTTCAGCAAGGCATGGAGGAAGGTGTACAGCTGAGAGACATTCCTTGGAATGACATCCAGGAGAGAATCGCAAAATGGGGTCTCGGAAGGAGATAGAAGAGTTGCATAGAGCGTACAGGATGTTTTGTTTGCATGATGAGCGTGTATGGATATCCTTACTCTAAGCATGAGGCTGCGGCGTCGCAGCAGAGCGCCATGTGTGACACAATAGAAGCAATTGTATAGTAGATATGGCAGAATCTGAAAACTGTTCAGCCGTGGCCATCCGGCAACTTTCTATTCAAGCGGAATCCGGACTGGACGGCACCTGCTCGCAAACAACTGGATCGATGACTATTTCACGGAGACTATCCGGCATTTGCTTTCCTTCTGCCTTCAGTTTGGTCTGCCAGGGAAATGATTGGCTTCTAAATCTCGGACACTAATGGATGTCTTTGGCGTCCACCCAACACACATGACATCCCGCGTGTCAGCACATACCCCGCGAGGCTGTTGTAGCTCCTTTGGAAGGAAGTGCGGAGATCACTGAGGACAACAGGACTGAAGCTGGAAAGCCATTTAGGATATATATATCCATTGCAAGGTCTTCACTCCCGGTCGAATTCCTTGGAGCCCATGCTCTTATCTGGCTTTCTGGGGTTTCGGCTGAGGGTTTGTGAGGATCATGTCTGGACTTCTGGCTCCTGGGGGCATTCTGCGCACATAGGCTCAAGGGCTGTCACGAGCCGTGACTACTAGGCTTTCTGAGGACTGAGAACTTGTCGGGCCGACCTCGGGAGCTGCAATGCTTTTTTGGATATATGTATGATCTACGGTCTTCGCACTTGCACGATCTGCTCTTCTCCATCGAACTCTTGTCCCGGCTCTTAATTCTTCGCAAGTGTCTATTCCATCTTCAGGTTTTACTGGTCGGAATCGTCGCTGGACAACAATTTGGGCTATTGCTTTGGCGACAGTTGATCTGCTGAATTCTTGACTGGACAGAGCTTCCCCTGGGCGTCTTTTACCCTCTTCGCTCAGACTGCTGGGCAAAATTTAAGAACAAGGACGGAGATGAAGTGGGCGGATTACTGGCGGTCGATAGCATGCGTCCCATCTGTAGTCACCAGTCTCCAACGGCGGTATGGATCTCGTACCAAGCATCGATTTCTGGCCAACAGACCATTCGCTTTCCATCACGAATGAGCAAACAGCCGGAGATATAAATATCTGAGTCGGTATCAAAATGGCTTGCTTAAGGATCTTCCCGCTAATCAACGAATGCTTGGTCGCCGGGTGTTTATGCGGCACTATGGTCATGGTATGCTCCTCGTGCTCATTTCTTTTTCGCCATCTTTGGATGCAGGAACATCAGCAACATCTGATTGTATTTACCTCGCCATTGCCGCACTAGTCACATCGCAGCTTTGCGTGCGGCCGTCATCAACTCGAGCTGGATTGGCTGAATGTTTCTCAAACCTTGTAATGAATCTTGGCTTACCTTATTCTATACGCAGCTTACTAGATCAGCCACGCAGCTAAATTTTGTATTCCTCGACATACTGCGGATTCTTTTTCATGCGCGGAAATAGCATAAATTCATGCCTTCACATCAGCCCAACGCCAATTATTTACTCGCGCATCGCTCTGAGAGGTGGATTCGTTATTGGTACATGTACTGCTGGAACGCTCTCAGCCTACACGAAGACTGTCGCGCAATAAATCCCCCCGAGCTTGCGAGACCAGCGAAAATCCTCGTTCTTGACAGCAACTCAGAGCATGTCAGCGACCGGCCGCTCATCGTGCCGGCATATGACAACTGTGACCGCTCCTTTCCGAACGAAAGGGCACGCTATCAGTACCTCACGTCGCCTCGAGGTTCTGCTTGCAACTCCTGCAACAGAACCAGGCGAAGTCGCAACCCTTGACGCACCGATACGCTCAAAGTCCACACGAACTGCGCCTACCCGCCAGAATCCCGGCGCTTCCTACATCGATGCCCTCCATCTCAGACTACCCGTGGAATTGTGGAACTCAGTCTTCTCTTCTCTCCCTGCAGAGGAGATTAGAGAGCTCAGGACTCAGAGCTTCGGTCTTCGTGACCTCATCGATGCCAACCAAGAAGCTATCGTTCGAGGCATCACAGAGACCGCGTTAACAAGGCTAGTCAGAGAGACGGAAGAAGCCAACTCTCTGTCGCCTGGATTCGTTAGAGCTTTACGCAAATGGCTCGACAGGAACGGCATCTGTGAGAAATGCTATAGTGCTGCACACTACGATGACTTAGCTGCATTCATCTGGCACTGGTCTCGTCGAATATCCCCTATACTGACGACGGAGCAGCAGCCGAGCAGAGAAGACTTCGAAATCATGAATACAGCTTGTCGATACATCATCGCGCTAGAGTCGATGCCTCTACAATGTGACCTCGCGAGGAGAGTGCAGTCCACAAGACAGTACGTCAACCAGCTACAAAGGATTCTATCACAACGTCAAGATCTGTTTGCCTTCAAAGGGAAAGATGAAATCTACTCTCTTCTAGATCGCCTCGAATACCAGCCTCAACCATACCCTTACGACCTACTTTGCGGAGGCAATCACATTACCCCACCGATGACTAATTCCGAATTGTAAGTGTAGAGGGCCCAGATTCTTGTAATTCAAATCATATACTGACTTATTCACTGCACATAGGTTGGAAAACCATTCCGGGCATGAGGATGAGACTCCCGAGGTTATTTCCCTCGTGCCATTGCGAAATAATGCAAAGGTCGTCGAATTTGAGTGCGACATCGATCGCGACGAAGCACTGCAAAGACTCCATCTCGCGCTCGGCATACCGCGACTTGTGGAAAGTGCACCGGGAACCTACTATTCTCGCAGAACTGCGAGATGGGTCATGAAAATGGTCAGACGCATCACATCGGGCGAGGCTCTTGAGTTCGACTCATTGGATAAGGCGTGCATGCTGGAGGCCATCAAGGTCATTTGACAACTCACAAGGGATCTTGAGACCTACCCTAGTCTATCTAGACGACTACACGATGTAGGTTTTTGGGATACAATGAAATTTGATCTAGTTCTGGGTTAGCGCGGCGTCCGTGGTGTCATGCTGGGTTTCCATTTGTCAAAAGCAATTTGAGTCTTTGCATCGGGTTTTGATCTCTCATGAGCACAAGCAGCTCATGTGATTCTATGTTGGTAGAGTGCCAAGTCGGGCAAGGTAGGCGCTAGATACTGGGTGCCTTAAGTTAGCCTTGTTGAAATCAGGCTGCGTGTGCGCACGGACCACCATTGCTCGGGCGCAAAATACAGCCTGCGACTTCCATTTCTTCTTCCGTTCTTGACACCACCTCAGTGGCTACATGCCCTTTGTGCCATTCCACACAGAAATTTCTCAAACACATACATCCTGGCTTCCTTGGACACTCTCGACGACCTTGGGAATGTGCGAACACACGTTGCGTCGGACGAGCCTTGCACTCACACGCAATTGAGTGGCTCGAGACGCCGCTTCAAAACAAAAAAAATCAGATCCTACGCTTATTCACTCTGCAAACACCGTCCGAAAGGTATCGACGGCTTCTTGTGGATCTTCATCAGCCATACATATCATACCCTGGGACGCTGCGTTGCGCACACGGTCGAGAACGAAGTCCGACAAAAGATTTGTGCGACTGCTGCGTGCTGGAAGTTCTACTGTCGTGGAGACCATCAGGAACATGGACAATTTACCAGAAGAGCTAACAGTGCTGATCCTGAACCATCTCACGGCCAGAGACATTTACTCGGTGTTGGCTTGCTCACGAATTCTCCGGAAAATATCATCGCGGAAGACACTGGGCAAGGAGATGGTCGCACGTCACCAGAGCCGACTGCAGGGCCAGATTTCAAATCTTTGCAACTTTAAGATCGAAGACCACCATAACGAGTTCGCGAATTCTGCATTCATGAAAGCGCTGGTTGACAGAATCGCGATACACGGTCTCCCTTTGAAAGAGCCAGACTGTTGCCATGCAGAGTATCTTCAGTTCGCAGAGCAGTGGCTTAGGCGTGCGCACGATGTGGTCAACACCCAGACGGCCAGCGCTCAGCATCAGATCACGATATTGGCATCAGTATGCATGAAGTTCATCGGCCTACACTTACATTTCAAGAAGCCGGGATACCGGATTCAGCATTCTACTAGGGATCGCATATACTGGACACTGAGAAAACCTGAAATGCTCGACCTGTTGCGTATGAGCAGCGCACAACTCGAGGCAGTGCTTCAACTGGCACAATCAACAGGACTGTTCACCACTGCAGGCAGCCGGTCCGAGGCGTGGTTCAGGAGACCGGGAGCAAAGCTCGACAGCAATTCACACTCTTCTTCCGACACTATCACGAGTTTCTTGGAAGAAATTATCGGTATAGCCAAGCCTTCGCTTCCTGCCCCTTTCGCATATGAATTCTCAACCAGGAAAGCCTATAAGTTGGCCGCTTCCCGCTCCGAAACCCCTGAGAGGGACGTCACAACGCTGGAAAAGGCCTTGCTGCTGGAGAGTCTCCGGATAGCTCCTGTGAGCTAGCAGGCCGAAAGGGATGCGTGTGAAATTTGGGGAGTTTACGTGGTCGCTTCGTCCTCAGTTCGCGCTGTTTTTGCACCGCGACAATGGCTATCTGAATGGTAGCATTACGTAGAATAATTTTGGTAACCCATCTTCGATTCCGTAAATGTGCAAGAACGAGACTCTCAGATGCAGAAGGACAGATACTCGCTCAGATCCCTTGCTCGGAGGTCCGGCGCGGCCCGCGCTGTTGCCTCAGATGCAGCAAGGCGCTTTCCACGTTCAAGCACTGCAAACGACTTCGAACATCATGGCAACTTCTCTTGACGCGCTACCAGCAGAGATCCAGTTGGTGTGTATGGGTGGGCCATTGTTGAATTCACATCTGTACTGACAATCACCAGGCTGTCCTTTCGTGGCTGCCAGCCAGAGATATTCAGAAATGTCGCCGTATTAGCGAGTACTTCCGACAATTGATCGATCTGTCGGAGAATCAGCAGCTATGTGTCGGACCCAGCATTGCTCGTTCGCTCCACCGCCTAAAGCAATTGACCGATAGATATTGCGATTACCCTCTGGACATGGCTGCAGAAGATGGTAAGCATTGCATCCCCCCGAGACATGAAGACCAGTAATGTCGTTCCGCCATTCTTAGAACTCTACAACTTGCAAAAGTTGTTCCAAGATGCTAATGACTGCGGTTTGTCAACAGGCACGCCGACTGCATTTCTTGATGCTCTTGTTGCTTTCGTTGAGCTTCGAGGCATTGTCATGCTCTCGCACGCCTTCAAGCATCGAAAGGGCATCTCGCTATTCAGTGATCGGCTGTCCCGCTTCAGTAAACACTGGGTCTACCGCTCGACTGGTGAACTTGTGAGGCAATGGGATGATTCCGGAGAAGCACAAACCAGCAGCCAGATGGTCGCAAAGGTGGCACAAACTCTCATTAATTACCACATGCACCACAACGATCGGACTCTCGGAGAAGATTTGCGAAATGTCCTTATCGCCACTTCGCAAAAAGGCCTTCAGATCCTCGGGTTAAGGGAGCCCAAAGATATGTTATGTTGGCTTGACATGATCGGTGGAGATCCTGGCATATTCTCACATGTTCCCGTCATTCTCGGCGAGCAGTACAGCAGAACAGGCGCAATGGTAAGTCCGTTCGACACTACCATGTCGGCTGTGCTAACAGCTTGCAGAGCTGGGGTATCGTGCCTAGAGCTGCCCGGCTGAGCGATCAAGAGCTGGCGCACGAGATGAATAAGCGTGCCAAAGCACTGAACATGCCTCAAATGGACGAGACTTCGCCGTTCAAGTATATGGTCCATACTACGTGGGCACGCGACCATGTCCAAGCTGCAGTCTCAGCAAAGGTGGACAACATAGTGAGGGCGGCAGTGCTGGAGGAGATGTTCCTGTTGGAAAAGCCAAAGTCGCAGCCAAACTGGTTCTGATGGGTGCTATTATTCTAACAAGCTTAACACCTGTATTCCGAAGCGTTCTAAGATGCGCATACCTGTATCGGCCATGAAGAGCTTGAGCAAAGCAGCTCTGCTGTGACTCCGATGACTATGGTCAATCGCAAGACTTTTGCTATGTATTATAGCTAGCACTTTATCGATATCCAAATGCAGCAACAGTCCTGCCGTCTGCATCTCTTAGCTGGCATGTCGAGGGGGTATGTTTCTTCAGTTGCTCGCCCGCTTTCTTGCAGACAGCGAGCAGCCTCCCTTTTTGACGCGTGAGGTACGATAAGGCATCAACCATGATCCACGGCAGGCGAATGAGTTGAATTGTCGTGAAAGGATGAGAAATGAAGCCTGTCGAAAACAACGCGAGGCGAGCCAACTTTGACGCCAAGACAGTACTTAGTCAGCCTGGGTTCTACCGCCATGGGTCCACTTTCATGTGCACTGCAGCCGCGACGGTAGATGCCAGTTAGACGCACTACTGCTGCATTCGCAGAACGAGACTCCAGCCAGCGACCTGACATGCGAAGCCCATAGCTCAACTCAAACATATTTCAGCATGGCGGCCGACAAGGCGTCTACCACTCTTCTCGACCTCCCGGTTGATCTCCTGTTGATGATCTTCCCATACCTCGACGCTCCCAGTTTCCTCAGCTTTACTGCAACATGTAAAGCCTTACACAAACCTGACTTCATGCACGAGAGCACATTCTGGTCTGCTCTCGTTCGACACGACTTCCGCGTGCCCAACCAGCCAGTAGCCCAAACGGACGGCGAGCGGTGGCAGAAGTTATACAAGCGGCTTCGTACCCAGAGCAAGATCTTCACGTGGGGAAACAATGAGAAAGGCTGTCTCGGTCATTCCAATGAGCATCCGGGACCACGTATCCTGAGTGGCCCTGGCTTTCGCAGAGTGCCGCGTAGGACGAGGCACGTAAGTTGGCCAGGTGAGATGGAGGGCCTTGAAGAGCTGGGTGTCATATCAGACATTCAATGTGGTGGCTGGAGCACTACATTGCTAACTGCCAAGGGTGCCTTGTATACGGTTGGCGTGCTGGATGGTCTGCAATTTGACCATCGTCGGCCACCTCACTTGCAACCGTCTCACCGTTCGCCGACGCCGCTGCAATTCCCAACGGGATTGCCGCAACCGAAGGATCGCTACGACCCAGCCACAGCCATCAAGCAATTCTCGGCCGGCAGATCTCACGTTCTAGCACTGAGCGACAGCGGCATGATCTGGAGTTGGAACAACATCGACCTTCCGGGATTGCGAGTCAAATTTGTCCACCACACTATCAAAGAGAATGGAAGCGATAGTGGAGCTGGTGTCGTGAAGAAAGTGGTCGCTGGCTGGAATCGCAGCGTAGCTCTGATCGAAGGCACAGGTCTTGTCTTGTGGGAGCCGCTTCAGCTGGAACCTGATGAGTGTGACACACTTGATGCGGCGCTTGTTCTGGAAAGTGCTGTCGTCTCCAAAACACGACATGTTCAGAAGAGCGAGCTGCCAGAAGATGCAGATACTGGCGAGGTACTGAACTTTGTGGTTATGGAAAACACCATCCTCTTCAACACACACCTTGGCAAGCTTTTCGCAGTGGAGATCACCTCTCCTCATCGCACTCGGGACATGCCTGAGCCTGTTGAGATCCCTATTCCCACATCGAAGGGCGCCGGGTCTGATGCCACATTTGTCACCGATGTGCAAGGCTCTTTCCAGAACTTCGCTGTGTTCACTAAATCTGGCGCTGTTTTAACCAGCAACCAAGACAGCATCATGCCACGCGTTCTTAACCAAGCATCAACTCGCCGCGTCTTCAAGCGGATTCCCGCGTTGCAGAACAAGCAAGTCATCTCTCTCGCCTTCGGTGACTATCACTTTCATGCTCTGCACGCACCTGGCTATATTACTTCTTATGGATACGAGCCACAGTCCTGTGGTGCACTTGGTCTTGGCGGTATGGGTGTACCCGAAGGCCGTTTGCGAGGCATGAGGAATCAAGGCATCGGCGGAGATGGACGCCTGGTGCCGCATGCATATACCGAGGGCCGAAGAGTCTGGTTCGAGCAGGAGAAACGTGAATGGGTCTCCTTCATTACTTCTGGTGGCGTGGACGAAGAAGAAGCAGCCGAGCGTGTAAGAATGGCAATTGGCAGTCCTGGAATTACTGCTCAAGGAGAGGTTAGCGAATGGATCGAGCAGGAAGGCAGAGATTGGGCTCAGAAGTATGGGGTCAATTCCGAGAGCGATGATGATGATGGGCTCGGCGCATACTTCGCGCTGAATGTGACTGCTGCTGGCTGGCACAGCGGTGCCCTCGTCCTGGTCAACGAGAGTATGGCCGAGAGTCTGCGACAAGCGGTTGAGATTCCTGACAAGCCGCGTTCGGAAGACTCGTCAAAGGACGACCAAGTCCAAGCCAGCTCAAGTTCGAGTGCTGAAGACGAGCCTCAAACACTTTTGGACCGGGTTGCAGATTATGGTTGCTATTTCTTAGGGCTCGCCCCTTATGACGTGAACTCAAGCGCTTACAACCCAGACGCAGCACGCCCTCGCGGAAGCGCGAATGCCACAGCCATCTCTGGTAGCCTCCGACCAGGTGCTAACTTTGGTGCTTCCCCTCGACCAGGCTGCCATTACATCTGGTCAAACGACCACTTTCCACGACTGAAGCTGAGTGATGGCACTGAAATGCCAGGGACTGTTCCTTTCGATGAGTGGCGATACGGTAGGCCGGACTTCCAGCTGGATTGGGAGGAGCAAATGGACGAACAGGACGAGTGATAGACATTCCGTGACACGGAGTTTATGAATTGATAGCGAAATTAAGGGAGTATAAAGCAGCACGAAAGATGCTTGCAGATACCGCGCATTCCAAGCTTGTCAGATACTACTAAGTCTTCTATCTAGGCATCCATTACCACCCATACCGAGAACCCGTTCCTGATAGCTGCAGTGCTCGCACCGGAGCATTATGTGGCAAGCATATCGCAATTGTCGCTCGCCCTTCATCCGAGAAGAGGGCCTAGAATCGACTGGTCACCGGTGCTGCATTGGCTGCTGGCAAGAGTGATGGGAATGTTGATCGGAATAAGTCCCTGCGCACAAAGTAAGCCCACGTGTGATCAATCTCCGGTGCGACTTACGACATTGTTCGTGACTGCGGAGTTTGGGCAGCACATTACTGTGCCCGTAGAGCAATCACTTCCTCCGGTCAGGCCAGTGCACGACCCTCCGCCTAGTCCATTCAGGCCGAGCAAAGCTAATAAGCCTGAATTGTTGTTTGCAGTGGGGCAGCAGAAGGCTGCGTTGCCTTTGTTGCTGCAGATGTTGGTTTCGGTGTTGGTTTCGGTGTTGCCGTTCCCTATGGCTGTGGAGCCTTTGCCTCCTCCACCTTCGTGGCCGGAGCCAGAGCCGCCTTGTTGGCTACCTTGCTGGTCGGACTGAGCGGGCTGACTAGATGGGCCCGACTTTCCTGGTGCTTCCGCGTGGGGAGCTGCGAGAACACCGGTCGCAAAGAGGGCGAGGATCGCTGTTGTGAACTGCATTGTGCTTGTGGAATGAGTGTGGCTGTGAAAAGAGTGGTTGAACCTGGTATGTATCTTTGAACGAATGTTGTTGCTGGGTGGAGTTGAGCTGACTGCTGGAGTATTCGATTTCGAGCTTCGCTTTCGTCCTTTATATATCTCGAAACACCGACTTTGCCAATGTCAACTTTTCGCTGATGACCCATGCCAAGCAAGCCCTGGCGTAGGATTTACGAGCACAGTACCTGATCTTTCCACATCGGGGAGTTTGGGCGATAACTCAGGAATTGCGATCATCGTCCACGGCTCTCACTGCGAATCCTGACCTGCGCATAATGGCTACCTACACACTCTCTCGCAAGTCTGATTCAAGCATACCAAGAGCAAGCCGTCCTCGTACAGTGCCCAGGGCCAAGCTGTTGAGGCTGTTGTGGCTGGTCGTACGCTCATTTGCACATGTTGATCCGCGATAATCCAAGGCTTAAGCAGAGACAGGAGTATGCAAATGCAGAGATGATCTATTCTTAAGCAGAGACAGACTCGTGCAATTGCAGAGAGAATCTTCCCTGAAAGGACCTCTTGGTTGTCGCCGCGTGGAAATCAAGAGAGAGAACTTTGGGTAAGCCATTCGCACCGAGAGTACGAGGCGTGAAAGTCCTGCCGATGAAGGCCAACAAGGTCTGCGACAGCTATGTGCTCATCAAACCAGTCAGACCTCCTCGACATCAAGGACCTCCTCCTCGAAACTGGCCGAGCAATCCTGATGTGCTTGCAGTCGAAACTATCGAGCCTTTGCCTTGCTTTCTCATCTGTGGAATCGCAGCTCTTGCGAGCTAGAAAACTGGACGTCCGCACAAGTTCGTCTTGATCACAGCATCGGAAGTAGCGACGTTATGGTCCACAACTGTCGCTAGGCCGCGAGTCGAGCTCCGTTGTGGAAGAGTACGTTCAGACGACCAAACTTCTCAATGCAGGCCTTCATTACGCTCTCACGGTCCGAGACGTTCGAAATGTCGCTCTGGTTGCCGCCTCGTTGAAGGATATCTCGTTGTTCGAGGCCTACCACGAAGACCTTGGCGCCTTCTTGAAAGAAAAGCTCTCATGTCTCTACGCCCAGGCCTGATGTGCCACCGGCCACCATTACAACCTTGTTGGCGAAGCGTCCTGAGGTCATTTCGATGAATTTAGCGTTACAAGGAGAGAACTTCTGCAGGGATGAGCTCCTATCTCTCTCTCTCTCTCTCTCTCTCTCTCTCTCTCTCTTACTCTCTTACTCTCTTACTCTCTTACTCTCTTACTCTCTTACTCTCTCACTCTCTCTCTCTCTCTCTCTCTCTCTCTCTTACTCTCTTACTCTCTTACTCTCTCACTCTCTCACTCTCTCACTCTCTTACTCTCTTACTCTCTTACTCTCTCACTCTCTCACTCTCTCACTCTCTTACTCTCTTACTCTCTTACTCTCTTACTCTCTTACTCTCTCACTCTCTCACTCTCTTACTTACTCACTCACTCACTTACTCACTCACTCACTCACTCACTCACTCACTCACTTCTCCGAGATACTGAGATCTTATAGAGAATGTGGTGCTGTAGTTTGTTCAAGCCTGTCTACATTCTGTTTCGTAGCTTTCTTTGCTATAGACCGTTCATATCGTCTCGTCCTCGTCGGCTGCGCGCTCCTAGAGCCAGAGTCTTTGCGATCTTTCTAACAGCTGAAAGCATAGTGATTGTGCGATCCCTTTATAGTTCAGTATTTTCGTTACTAGTTAGAAGGTTTCCACTAGGAAGGGTAGCTTGCAGGTGCGGCAACTCAGTATATAGGCCTTCCGAGTCTTGGCTATTAGATAGAACCCTTTATATACTAGCTGAGCATATAATTAACTATTAAACCCTTGCTCTTTTAAGTGAATAATGTCTCTGTTTACTACTTTCCATCGAGTGACTAATAAGGCCTTGCCTAACGAAGGGCTCGAGTCGTAGAAGGAGGAAGGGGCGGAACTAGATGCGGCAAACCCCCGGGTACCGGCGGAGGAGACCGATTCGTACGACGGCGAATTTAGAGCGGAAAAGGTCGAGTTTACTATAGTAGAAGGGCTAGATCTTCCTCGGTAATAGAACTTCGATCCTCTATAGGCCCTACCGAGTATAGAGCGTTAATTCTACGTCCCCGACGTCGATAGGGACTACTCGCACGATATAGAATTGCCGGCGGATTGCGACTACGCTTCTGCTACTAGAAATAGGTATAAAGACTACGCTACTAGTTATACCGAGTTCGGAAAGGCCTAGAATCTCCTATAGAGGGTCTAGGAGCTGTTTTAGACCCCCGAAGTAAAGGAATTAGTTACTAGGTTTACTAATTAGTATATTAAGTAGTAATAAGATAATAGCCTTACTAATAAGGTTAAGCGACAGGCGGCCAATTATAAACCTATTAAAGCGGCGGAAATTGATATCTAGCTCGGACTAGTGTATTATATTAGCGTAGTAGGTTAAAACACGCCTAGCGACTGCTAGTCTAACGATTTAATAATGCCGTACTACCGTGCTATACGGTTTATAAAGAAACGCCGCTTCTAGTAGGTAAAGAGGTTTATTAAGCTATCTAACGTTGTAAAGGATTAGGTGCTAGCAACGAAGCATTAGTATATAAAACTAGAGCCGATTAGCAGTTGTATAAAGGCCGCGTTTAAGAGACACTACTTACCTCGAAGCTAGGTATCGATTAACGAGATTATTGTCCGCTTTACTAGCCGTAGTAGACACGTTAAGGTTATTAGGAACAAGCCTTGTCTAGAGGGTTATAAGCTGCTCGCTTTGTGTAATGCTAGTTACGTATACGATTATACGTTTAATTCGCTTATCTCTAGCTTCGAGAACGACCGTCCGCTTAATAACGAAGAGGTAGCGCGAGTGCTAGAAGGGTATAAGAGTAAGGAAGAGGTTATAGTTGCGAAGGCCTATATTAAGCGGCTCTCGGCAACGGCTCGTGCTACGCTCCGGTTAGCACTTAGTTTGCTAGCAGGTAGGCAACACTGCATCTATATAGACAATAGATTTACTAACATACTATTATTATCGTACATGCGCTTCGCTAGCGTTGCTAGATATAGTACCTATAAGTCTAATAGTATAGATTATCTATAAGTATTAAGGAAGGCGATAGTTAGTAGTAGGAAGAAGACCCGCCTCCTACCTAGCACTTTAGTAGGTACAGTTACGGCCTTAGGCAACGGTGCCGTTCTATCGCTTCTATAGTAAGATTCAAACCTCGTTTACCTCGAAACAATAGCATATACGGGTTACGAAATAGACGAGATAAAGCGCCGAGCGCTAGTTATAAGAGGAAACACTAACAAATAGAAAAAGGACTTTATTACGGCTATCTACGAGCCCGCACCGTAGGCCTCGGATAGGCGGAGGGTTATTAGCTAGCCTCGAGTTACTATCGAGTACAACCTCTATATAGGCGGCGTTAATATTTACGACTAGTTGCGCTCCTATTATCCGACTTAGCTTATTAGCTATCGCAACTAGATGCCGCTATTCTTCTAGCTACTTGATGCTATGTGTATTAACGCCTACTTGCTTACTAAGCATAAATATAGCGACCCTCAATCGTACGACTAGATAACGAAGTCCTCGCACTATAATATATACCGGCTCTTCCGCTATCGACTAGCGTAGAATCTAATCCTTTCTAGCTTACGCGAAATCTATAGTCTATACGAGACTAATATTAAGTTAATAGAAGAGGTTGCCTCGAAGATTAATCTACTAAGACACCGGAAACAACTAAGGGTTAGTAAGAGAGGGGAATATATTAAACAGGGCAAGACTAAGTTGCCTATTTAACTCTACTTTCTTAATAAATACAAGCCTATTCGAATAGACCGCAAATACTACTAATTCTACGTATTTAAAAAGAGGTATTAGAAGTAGCAAGTAGATAAATATACTATAAGATAGCGTTGTAACGACTGCGGTTAGTACCTCTATATTAAGTACTATAACGACTTCTACGACCTTACCCCTAGTTATTACGACTAGACGTTGCCTCGCGGCGGACTAACCGTAGCACCTTCGAAGGCCGCTTAACTATATTAACTAGTAGACGACGATGCGCCTACTAAGCCTAACGTCGACTAAACTCGTCGAGTCGCCGCTCTAATAAATATACCTTACTAACAAGCCGATAGATTAACTACTCGAGCCTTAGATAGCGGTCTTTAATAGAAGGAAGGTCGTCTGTTTCTAGGTCTAGGTTTACGGGTGTAGCCGGCTTACTAAGCCGCCTTAATATTATTCTAGTATCCTCTTCTTCTAGCTCCTTTGCTATTAATTTTAGTATAGTTAGCGGCGTACTAGAGAGGGTGGAAATCTAACTTAGGTATAGCGATAAGATAGGCTTATTATCCGAATATTAGCTTTATAGCAACAGCGTTAAAATTAGCCTTCTATACGGCTATAAACTACTTACTTCCGCTACTTCTGTCCGCTCTATAGCTAGTATTTACTAGCAGGTCTATTATATGCTAATAGTATAAGATTGCTAAGGTTTAGAAGACCCTAGTACATACTAGGCTAGAAGGGGTTTAGTTACTTACTTAACGGAAGGTCCGGAAGACTAATATTAACCTTCGGTAGCTTACAAGGGTTGAAAATACACTCTAAACAACAAAGGGATGTTTAGAGGACGTAGTACCTAAGAGTAAGGTATCTTCTGTCTAGATAAATATTAGACCCTAGCCCTATAGGGCTAGGCCTAGCTCCTAAGAAATAATTTCCCCGTAGAAGATTAACTAAATCAGTTAAGCTCGATGTATACTTACGTACGCTAGCTAGCAGAAGCGTACGGTTACTAAGTCTTTGCGATCTTTCTAATAGCTAAAAGTATAGTAATTATGCGATGTTTAGAGGACGTAGTACCTAAGAGCAAGGCATCTTCTATCTAGATAAATATTAGACCCTAGCCCTATAGGGCTGGGCCTAGCTCCTAAGAAATGATTTCCCCGTAGAAGATCAACCAAATTAGTCAAGCTCGATGTATACTCACGTGCGCCAGCTAGCAGAAGCGTACGGTCACCAAGTATGTGTTGAAGCCCTGAGCTCGGTTGTAGACTGTCAGCACAGCCCTGCGGGGATGCACAGGTGACAGTGGCCATGTTCATTGTGCGCAACTGCGTGCGTTGCGGATTACCGAGGGAATGTAGCAGGGACACAGTTCCGTAAGAACCTCTGCATTTTCCTGTCACTCGGACGAAGCCCCAATCACTTTATAGCCATCAATTTCCGCAACTTGAACTCTCTTCGAGAAAAATGGGTTCACTGAGTACTCTGATTGAAGAAGCACAGGAGCACATGAGGACTGAGGGCTGGTGTGTTATTCCTGATGTGCTTAGTCCAGAGCAGACTAAGAAGACACTCGATGAGCTCTGGTCCATAGCCGAATCAGCCAACAAGCGCGGCGAAGACACCTTTCTGCCATTCCTGGACCCCAACGCAAGCAATGTTCGAGTATTCTACCTGTTGGAGCACGCAATCTTTCGAGACTTGATCCGACATCCCACAGCTGTTCAGATGGTCAAGAGCGTGCTAGGAGAGCAGTTTCTGATCAGTAATTTTACTGCGAATATTGCTAGACCAGGAAGCAAATCGATGGGCTTGCACTCGGATCAGTCTCTCGTCACGCCTGATCCATGGACTCGAATCGAGGCCATGAATGTCATTTGGTGTTTGACTGATGTGCATTTCGAGAACGGCGCGACGTTGTACATTCCTGGGTCCAATAAGTGGCAGAGAAGAGGCGATATTCCGAAAGACGCGAAAGAGAGATTGAGGCCGTTCGAGGCGAAAGCTGGCTCCATTGTTGTTATGGACGGCACAGTCTGGCACACATCAGGTGCGAACGTTACCAAGGATCAAGATAGAGCTTTGTTGTTCGGATACTACACCGCGCCACATCTCCGCCAGCAGGTCAACTGGACGAGGAAGCTCAGTCCAGAGGTCAAGGAATCTCTTTCGCCTGAAATGGAAGAGTGGTTGGGCGTAGGTAGACTTACCGGATCAGCACTTGATGCAATACTGACAATTGATGCAGCTCAGCGTGACGGCGAACCTGGGTGAAGCGATTACGCATCTCAAGTATCTCGATGACCAATTCGCGGAGGATAGCAAGGGCTCAGGTGCTGATACTGCGGCCGCGTTCGCCAAGTCCTCGCACAGCAAGTGAGCACCGCTGCATGTGCCGTGAGAATCTTTTCGTACGCTCTTCGACCACACGTCCAGCCATAGTTCAATGGGCGTTGGGCGTTGGGCGCCATCTCTTCTCGCTCCCCGATCTCGCCTTGCTTCCTTCTCCTTGCTCTTACTACGCATTTATCCTGTTCCCGAGCCTGATTGTATGGTTGAAAAGGCGAGATCCATTGTATTGTGTGCTCTGCGATGGGAGATCTTGGTTCGCGCCGTGCTTCAACACGGATCGTACTCCGGCATTAGGTAGTCACTGTGTGCAACAGCACTTGAGCGAGCCTTTTGCGCTTGTGAGGTGCATGCTGTCGAGACTCGGAATTGTGCGTGGAGGTGAGAGCGAGAGCGAGTGAGCGAAGAAGTGGCTGGCGCGGCTCCTCCCGCAAAGCCTGTTGCAGTGTGAAATGGAGGCTGGGACACGCGCATCCAACATAGTCAGACCAAGCACAGCTTGCGAGAATGGTGTCATGACAGATTCTTATCGCAAGCCTGTCCATTCAATCTACTCGTATGTGGCGCCGGATCCTGCTTACTCATCTTGTCCAGAATTTGCGATCCTTCAAGATTCAGCCCTAGTTCTAGTTCTAAATATGTGCTTGTAGGCGGCTCCGCGTGCCTACAAAGCGCGAGCGAAGCTTCCGCCTCACACACCCTTGCAGGTCGCTGGTCGTTGCAGGTCGCTGGTCGTTGTAGGTCGCTAGTCGTGGTCGACCGTCGTTGCAGGTTTTGTTATGGTTGGCATCAGGCACGTGATTTTCCGGAGGTTCAGTTCTGCCGTGCCGTCCCAGCAGCTCTTGTAGAACTCAGCCAATCAGAGCTTCAGCTTTCTGAAATCCGGGGAACCACGTGCGTGGTCAAACAGGGAATTGAGCCACTGTACGAGACTGCTCACAACAACATCTTACAACCTCAACCACAAAAGAGGTATACATATCGCTTCGCAACTCACGAAGGAGTAGCCGCATACCTACACTGGCACGGCCAGCTCTGCAATTCCAGACAGCCTGTGAAATCGCTGTCAGCACACCATTTACTGGACATCCGCTATGGCCCCTACATCAACAAGAAAAGTCCTCGAGCAGCTCCATCAGACGTACTGCCAATCACCATTTCTGACCTCCCCGACCATCCTAGGGGGCTTGACTGCTTTCACTTCTTTGTACAGGCTCTACGGAGCGCAGCAGACACCCGCAAGCTCATGAATGGGAACTTCATCTTCGCGACAGAGATGACGAGGTCACTGCTTCCCCAGCTGATCGCGAACAAGCCATCTCTCGTGCTCAACATGGGATCGGGTTCTGCACGACTCCCGTGCCCATATATTGCCATTGCAGCTGCATCGAAGGCTTTCTTGGAGTCCTTCTCGCAGGCTCTTGCTGCAGAAATGGTCGCAGTCTGGGACTTGTCGGCAGTGGGAGGAGAACTGTGTGGGGATACTGGCCACATGCATTGCAGTTCGAGACGATGTTCAGATTGCCGCACTCGATGACCGAATGGATGTGCATTGACCTAGTGCGGAAGCTCAAAGCTCAGGACGAGGTTAAGAGAGGGAGCAAATGAATATGACCACCCACACGTCCACAGCTTAGGCTTAGGCGAACACGGCAGAGTTGAAGACAGCCGAGTCGGGCGAGCTAATTTTGGTTGAAGCACTGCCACTATTCTACAGCTCCCAAAGTTTGGATACCGCCTGGTCATCGACAATCGCATCAGCCGTCGTGACTTCAGAGCCGGGACCAAGACGTGCTCGCTGTTCGGGACGTCGGACGTCAGAAGTCAAGTCGTGCGGCAAGTGCGTGCTGTGGGAACTGAGAAGGAGCAGGAAGGTTTGGTCTTGCAGGGAAGGCGCCTTGGCACTTGGCACTCAATGAGGCGCTCGCGCGGACCTCTCTTCCTTCTTGCCCTCTCGAGTTTGGAAGGCGATGTCACCTGACCTTGTTACACCATGGTCGTGCGAAGCATCAAGCACGATGACGTCTCAAGACCGTCTTCTCACTGCTTGAACATCACGTCACAGAACACTCCGGATCCATTCTTCGCCGTCGCCAATGGCAAGTTCTACATGACTTTCACTGCCAACGATCGCGTGCCGCTATGGGAAGCCGATAGTCTGGTCGACTTTTGGGGAGATAGCCCTACCATTGCGCCCATCTGGTACGAGTTCCCCCAAGAAACATACCCTCGCATGCGCTGATGGCAGCAGGCGACCACCTCCAGATACCTCCCATTCTGCTCGGCTATGGGCCCCCGAGCTGCATTGCCTCCGTGGTCGATGGTATGTCTACTATGCCGCCATGGATCCTAAATTAGGCAATGCGTCGCATAGAATGTATGTCTTAGGCGGGCCTCCTGCGACAGCCGATCCCCATACCGGCCCTTGGGAATTTTTAGGTCCGATCAAAGGCATGGACCAAAGACAGTGGGCGATCGATGGGACGGTCTTCGAACTCGCAGACAAGCTGTATTTTGTGTACTCTGGCTGGTCCCTCGATCGGTCCTTTGGGGATGTGCGAGAGGATCTTCAGGAGTTATACATTATCCATCTCTCAGATCCAATCTCTGCCGCCTCGAATCCTGTATGCATCTCCACTCCCGATTGTCCCTGGGAACGAACAGGTCCAGTCGGCATCAACGAAGGCCCTCAGTGGCTCTCGTCTCCAAACGGTCAGTGGAGAGGCTTGGTCTACAGCTGTGGCGCAAGCTGGACTCAGCATTACAAAATGGCCCTCTTGCGCTTAATTGGACACGATCCCCTCTGGGCCCCAAATTGGCAGAAATCAAGAGAGCCATTGCTCCAGAATGCAACTCATGGCCAAGGGCCTTTCGCACCTGGTCACGGCTGTTTCCTTCAACTCGGAGAGGATACTGTTGCACTCTTTCATGCCACAGACAGAGACACTGATGGAAATCAAGGTCGAAAGTGCAGGATGCAGAGAGTGTCATGGACACATTCAGGTCCAGTGATGGGAAAATGTGTTGGAAGAGCGACCAGAGATGTTCAAGAATTTCTCGGCCATCAGCCCTGCGGTGCAGTCCTCAGACGAGCACTACTGCGCGACTTGGCAATTGCCTCCTGATCAACCTTCATCTGGCAACGGAAAGCTGTGCGCTCTGCCCTTGTCACAAAATGGAGCAAGCGGAGAAAGGAGAAGGCAGTGGATATTTTACCGACCAAAAGAAGCCGACAAGCCGGTGGACTTTCGGCTCCATTCGAGCTTGTCACCGAAAGAAAGCTTATAGTTGTGCTTAGCATCGGTACACGGCGGTCAAACTACGGACCACTACTTGACGCGAGACATATCTATCGTGCGGCAGGACCTGAATCCACTCTCTCATCTCACGTCCCATGTCTGGTCTGGACCTTTGGTGATTAGCAAGACGCTTGTCCGTGTGCGAAGGCCTTTGCGGACTCGTAAACATGGGGACTCTCTTCTGCCGGTTGAACTTGCCTTCCTCTCCTGAACATCACTCTCGAATTGTCAAGAACTGAACCGCTCGGATTGAGGATTTGGAAGTCACAGGCAGATCTAGACTTGCTCGTACCTGCGACTTTGACGGCGCAATCGCTACTGCTGTACATCAGCTGTCACTAGGAAAACACAACACAACGCGCTCGACTATCCAACATCTACCTCTCGACATATACCGAACGCACAAGTTACAAGAATATCCAGCAGCTCATAATGAAGCTTTCAACTTTCTTCTTCGCCACAACTTTCTTCCTCGCCACAAATGTAGCCGCAGCAGCACTTGCAGAGCCTTCAGACAATCGCATCCCGGAGCCAGAACTCGAGCAATCTGTTCCAACTCTCGTGGCGGATGGTCACTTGGAGTACGATTTCCTCGTGTAGCTGCATAGAAATTCATCGATCTGACGAATGTCTCAGGATTCGGCAAAACAGAGTCTACAACCAAGACGCTGTCACTGCTACTTCGGAAGCGCCAGTCGTCACGACATTCTGGCAAGCCAGTCAAGTCGGAACCTCTGTAACCTACATACAGGTCATCGTCACACAGACCTTTGCCGAAGTACCTGATCAATGGCCGTCGCCAGGTGTCGGATCTATCGGATACGGCACTCTTGTCAAGACCAGGAAAAACAAGCGCGAGGCGGAGCCTACTGGTCTGTGACAAATCTCGCACTCTTGCTACACTAAGCACTCCGACAGCAAGAACTTTTATTGATAAAATGCTAAACCCGTGGTCATAGGCGGCACGCCGGTCGTCCTTGAACTGCACACCAAATTCGAGACCATTTGGCTTCAATCAGTCACGCAGGTGATCGAGTTACATGTCCAGCCAACACTCCCAACGTTCCCTGGCCTCGGCAATGAGACGGTGATATCGAACGACACGACCACGTGAGAGGAGATTGTGTGTCGGTAGAACGAGGATGGGAAAGCTTCAACGACTCGGATTTTAGAATGAATATCGAAATTGAGTATTTGAGCGAGCATGAGCATAGGCATCAGGACTTCAAGCAGTATGAGCACACGCCAAATTTGCAATGAGCACATACCCTACCCAGCTTCAAGTCTTGTGGTATGTGAGCAGATGCCCCCAATGCATCGGCGTGTATATCGCCTCACCAGAGCGGAGCGAGTGACTAGCTCACGACAGCTATTGAAGTGCTTTGCAACAAGATACCGCTCAGCAACAGATGATCCTCCTATCTCGAATCAGGCGGCTCCTTCTCTTGATCTATCGGCACGCTTGGTACTTCGCCGACGGAATCTCTGTGGCATCGAGCCACCACGACTTCGCCATATGGCCACGGACCTAGATGACGATTATGATATTCCTCAAAATAGCCTCGAGGAGATAGAAGCAGGCAAGATGACGGGAGGTCTTTTCAAGGAAACCTTGGCAGCATTGAATGAATTGACTTTTGACCTGCGTGCGACCAGTGGGAAAATCGCAATGACCATGTCATGTAAAGGTAGCAGGTCCGTCCGCACGACGAAGAACTGCCGCGCGTGCTATGAAGGAGAACTCAAGCAGATTATTATCCCGCTACAGTATGCCTCGCGACATTCCTTGGAAAGTCTAGTTCTGTGTAATAAACAACACCCCGGTACAAGCGTAAAGGATATCGAAGTTGGGCTGAAACAGACAGCATCGCGTATCTGGAGTCGTTCACTAATCAGGTGAGCCAGAACATAGGTACCATTTCGTTTGGCAGCCCTGAACCAGAAGAAGACATCGAATTCGACAAGAAATCCAAAGCGAGTTTGATGACTTGAAAGCTCGGGGTAGAAAAAAGATCTCGTGAACTTTAGAGACGGCATAAGCAATGGGGAGGATTTTCATTTGAGATTCCCATCGAATCTTAGCTTGGGAGGTTACACCTATTTTGAGTCATCCTGGTGAGGAGTGGAAGGGCGTGTGAATGGACATGTCGATGATGAGGAGATTATCAAGAAGAGTCTCTTCCCGCCTGAGGAAGGGAAGGGTAGTGTTCTTGTATGCAGAAGGTCGGTTTGCCTACTTTAAGGGATTGGGGATATAAGGAGTGTGAAAATTGTTTTTTTGGGGGGTTTTGGTTTGCAGGATGAATGTGTGTGCAGGACTTCTCATCATATGCCTTGGATGATGATCACGGTACACAACAACAATGATATACAGCTCATGAAAAGCTTTTGAGTCAACCGTATCCCATCGCTTGTTTCGGGTCCATCTTCTTCCCCGCCCATCACAGCAGACGTCTCATTCCTCGTTCCAAAAAAGAAAGTCTTACCCGTCTCATTTCCATTCACTCCACCGATCTCTGGTGGAACCCTCTGATCCGGAATCGCACACATCTCCTCCCGAGCACCCACACAAGCCAACGAACTCCTCACACTCGAAGAGGTATTGAAGTAAGCTTTCACATAGCTCACCACCATAACCGCATCCTGTTCCGGAGGTCCAGCCGACCAGCCTGGATTTCCATTGCTCCAATGAGAAATATGCAGCTTTCCAGCATTTCTGGGAACATTTCGAGTCACAGTCGTCAGCAGCTGACCGTTGGCGTAAAAGTCGACACGCTCCGGAAGCCAGTCAAATCGATATTCATTATACCCAGAAGCCGGCTCAAACTCAAGGCTCTTGTTGATGAAATCCGGTCCAGAAGCATACCCTTGAGCAGCAGATTGAGGAGATTGTATAACCAGATTCACCGTCTTATTCGAGTTCTCCCTGGATAAGATCTCGACATCGATTTCCGTCGAATCGTTGCTGAAAATATGGAACTCAAAAGAAAAAAAATCAGCAAATCCATCGGCTTTGAAACACTTTTTTGGGGGGTTTTGTTTTTTGGTTTATGCCAACTCACAAATAAAAGAAAAAAGCCCCAACCGTTCCAGGCACATCCGTCATCTTCATCCCAATCCTGAAACTCCCAAACAAAATATCATCTCTCCGACTTGAAATCTCAGCCATACCCACCACCATCTTCCTTCCATTTCCCCCCTTTTCAACCCGCCTCACCCACAACTCCAACCCCTTCCCCTCACCTCCCCAATCATCCTCGCTCTCAATCGAATTCGTCACAACATTCGCATACTCGGCTTCCTTCCCATAAGGATTGCTCGCATCGGGGGAAACATGATAAGCCTGCAAAACCCAATTCTTCGACGTCAGACCTCTGTCGTACTCGGGTAATCCGGTGATGGGATTCCATGTTTGGGTGTAGTGTAAGAAATCCGTTTCGAGGATTTCTGTGAAGTGGGAAGTGGCGTTGTGGATTGTGTAATAAGCACATGGACCATTTGAGACGGCGGTCGCACTTCGCGCCGAGATGGAGGAGGAGAAGAAGAAGAAGACAAGAGAGTGGAGGAGCGCGGAAAGGCGCATGGTTGTTGTTGTGGTGTAGCTTTGGAAGGAGATGTTCGGTCGAGGTGGTGATGATCAGGTGATAGTGATAATGGGACCTGACATATTTGGCGAACTTTTGTGATCGATTCAGCGGGTGTGAGTGGACTTCGCAGTGACGAGATTCTGACCTGTTTCGTCAACATGTCAGAAAAGTGACCGATCCAATCCGTTTGCTCTCTCGACCACACGCCCAAGCCGTCAAGGCTCGTTCAACCGGCTTTTACCTTTGGTCGCGTGCCTCAGATGATCCTGTTCCAAAGCGGTATCGAATCCGGCAGTCGAGTTCTGTCAAACAAACCACGGAGTCTACTGTAGTGCAGTATGGCAAGAACACAAGAACACAAGACCAGAAGGACTATCGAAGCGCTACTCACGTTCCTGCAGGTGTCCGCTGGAAAGACTGTTGTGAAACACATCTTAGATAAGAATAGCTACACAGGCGTGGCTACACAGCATGAGAAGTCCCGAAAGCAAGGGACGGACAGGAAACGCCATCGTGATTCTCAACGCCTCGAGAGTTTTTCTCCATGCTGCTGCTGCTGCTGCCTGATAGCAGGTTCCTGCCGCGCGCCGAACGCCGGACGGAATGGAAATAAGTCTAGACTAAAGCTGTCGACGAAGAGAAGATTGTGAATCAATAAAGTGAGGAACATATAGAGTCCAGCGACGCACACAATCCATGAATCGTCGTTACATTCGTTTCCTTCCCGTGTCATTACGAGAGCCATTCCATCTCATTCACGGTCGAGTGTCGAAATTTTAGATCAGCAGCAAGAGCTTATTCAATGCTGGCTTATCGTTGTTCTTGGTGATGGCGGTGCATCACTATGTATACCAGCCGCTCTTGGGACTGGTGTCGTAGCTGTGCTGGTGCTCGAGTGAAGCCCTCGACTTCTTGCTCTTGACGGCAATGAGCTTCTGCTGTGTTGGGAATGAGGATACTTCAGATATGCTCCGTTCCCTGCCCTACAAGAACCCGGATTCTGATAGTAGTCTGCAGACAAAGTCAGTATACGTTGGCAAGCACGAGACTGCGCGTTCAAGTCATACCTCGCAATCTTCTCATCTTCCCTCTCACGTGGCTCCACCTGCAAACTGCGCTCGTACATTTCATGTACATCGCCAGCGCTCTGCATATTCCTAAGAATGTACTCTTGCAGCTCTGGGACTGGCTGCAGACCGTAGGGCACATTCTGATACTGTTGAATATCTCGGATGACCTCAGCAGTCTTTGCTCGTTTGGCGAAGTTGATGAGTTGTGTCTTCTTGATGATGCTTGGGATACCGTCCTCAATAAAAGTAAGATCCGTAAGGTAGATACCGAAGAAAGGAATGCATGGAGGGTTGGCCTTGTGCAATGATTCTCGGTATTCGTTGAAGTTCTTCGTCGAGCCCATGAGCTTTCGCATAGACTCCAGAGTCTGCGTCGTGCGAGCATTGACCTGCGACCACGTTCTGTTAAGTCTGTGAATCGGTGCCGAGCCCAGAGCAGATATTATGGAGGTCAAGCAGGAGAAGTTATTGAGGTTCCGACACTTGTCTGCAATGGACACGAAGTGCTTGATGACAACCACACGCCGCTTGACATCGGCCTGTGTGAGGATCATCTGGGCTACCCAGTTGGTGAGTTGATTGGAGTGGAGAATCAGGGCCTTGACATTCTCCGCTGGATCCGCTTCTCCGGGCGCAAGCTTCTTCTGCCAGGTCTTGTTCAAGCACTCCGTTGGCCGAATCTTACCATACAACCTCGATTCGATGATCGTCAGCTGTCGAGCAAACTCCAAGGCATCAATATCCAGGAACTTGAGTTTCTTCATATTCTTCGGAATGATCGGTGGTGGCGCTTGCGAGTTCAATGTGAGGACGAGTCGCTTACTTGAGGCGTCTTGTCCACGCATCCTCTGCTCAATGGCGGTCATGAGTGGACCAGCTCCAGGCGTGCTTGTAGATTGTACGGTGTCTTTGGCAAAGGCGTATACCCTCGACATGAGCTGCTGGCTTTCCTCGTTACCCGGTTCCATCCAGTAGTTGTCGAACCACGATTTCAGGATGTTCACAACTCTAAATCGAATGGGCTTCTGCTTCTTGTCCGTCCAAATTGTGAGATCGTGACCACCAACTCCATGTGGTGGTTGGATCATCCATCTCTTGACAAGCATCTCAAACAGTTCTGGTCCGGTTGTGAATGATCTGTAGGTGAGGAGGAAGGTATTGTTGAAGGGCGAGTCCAGTCTGTCATGTCGCGTGAGCTGCTCCACGAGACCGGTCAATGTTCCACCTCGGAGTTGCGGAGGCTCGACCTTCAAGTCATAAGACATGTCGCCTTCGTAGTCAAGTCTGAGATAGTCTGGCATCTCCTCAGAGTCGCGGTTTGTTGCGGTCAACGACGTTCGTTCCTGCTGCGGTGCCGGCACTTCTCCAAAGAATCGCGTAGGTTTCGAGCTCTCGCCTTGACGCTGCGCATCTCGCGGTCCTGTCGACCCCGTGCCTTCTGTAAACGACTTTGAAGGTCCAACGTCCGCAAGACTTGGTCGCAAGCTCTTGGAGCTGTTTCTCTGGTGCTGCTGTTCTGTAGGTGCCCCGCCATCTGTCAGACGATGTGATCCTCTTGAGCCAGAGTCTTGCGAAGGCATCAACTCAGACAGGAGTTGCAAGGAGAAGTGTATCTGCGAAGCTGCGACATCCAGATCTCTTCCCACAGTCTTCACTCTCGCCAGCCGCTCTTCCAGCGAAGGACCTCGCACCTCCGCCCACTCGTCCCCGAGTGGGCTTGCAACTGCCTGACACGCCAGGATGAGATCTGAGGCCGCGTCGTAAATCTTCTGCTTGTGTTCCGAGAAATCGTTCAGTTGATGCGCCTGGAGCCCGGAATTGAGTGGAGCCAGGTTTACGGATTCAAGCGTTGCCAGGTACGGTCTGCAGACTTCGAGCACCTGGCTACCAGCTTTGCACACTGCGTCGCCGATTTGCCGATGCTTGTGGTGAGTAACGAGCTTGTCCCGCAGAATCAAATGTTCATCAAGTCGCTTGATGTTGGAGTTGATCAGTCGCTTGAGATCTTCGAGGCGATCGAGCAGAGATTGATTCGGCTGCTCAGTGGGTTCGGAGGAGTGTTCAATCTCGTCGTCCGCAGAGGACATGGAGGACATAGGGTCTTTGGAGTCCAGCCCATTGCTGCGCCAATTTCCTGCAGTCCGGCTGCCAGAAACAAAGCCAGGCGTGAGCCTCGGGATCTCCTCGCCACGTTGTTGTCGCGCGACTTCAACAAAGCCATAAACGCCATGCAGGACCCCTTCAGCTTCTTGCAGGCACTTTTGAGCCGAATCCGGCGCCGGAAAGTCTGCAGCGGCTATATGCGATGAAAGAACCAATTTTGAGAACCTTGACATCATCTCTCGGAAATGCGGATATAGTGCCTTGTTCGTCGATATGATGGAAGGATTGCCAGAATGGTTGTCAGTCGTTCCAGAGCCGGCTGCAAGTAGTAAACGCAAGTGGTCGGAGATGTCTTCTGCTTTGCGAACGAATTCCGATCGATCACCAGCACTGATGACTTCACGATATCTCTGAACGGCGCGACGCATGTCTTCAACCATCGTGTTCCAAGTCAATGGTACAGCGTGAGCGTCGTCGAAGAAGCGCCGAGGTAATAACGAAGCGCTCGAAGCGTGACCCTGCGCGTTAGCGAAGGACTGCATGGTGGTACCAACTGGAGGTATTCCCTGCTGCATTGCCGAAAGCGATACGTTGCTTGCGTCTGTAAGATTTGTGCGCGAGCGGGTCATCGGAGAAGCGCCGTTCAAAGAATCCATGGATGTCGCAGGTGACACACCGTCGGACAGATACGAACGTCTGCGTCGATGCTGACAGATTGACTACGTTAGTTGCGTGTCACATAGAGTGGTATTGTAGCAATTGGGTGCAGGGCACGTGTGAAAGTGTTACTTACGCTCGAGGCCTTGGATCCATGTGTCGCCGACGCGTCTTCGGTCTCGGAGGCAGAGGCATAGTCGGTGTCATCGTCGACTCCATAAGCGGCGCTGTGGAGGAACTCAGCTGGCGGGCGCGTCTGGTCAGGAATGGAGACATTCGTCTGGTCGCGCGGACCTCTTTCATTTGCGGATGTGGGAGCCTCGAGCGGGAGCTCCATTGTGCTCTCGCCGGTGAGAGTATTGAAGTAGAAAAGCCTGCCATCTGGGGTGGCCTGAGGGATCCAAAACGCAGCTTCCTCCTGCTGAGTCGCACTTGACGGCAGACGTGGTCCATGTGCGCCATTGACTGTAAACTGGTCGTGCTGCTCGTCGTCTTCACCCGATTCTTCCGCCTCTGCGTCAGCCCTGCCCATCCTGTTGCCCATGCCATCGTCGTATGCTGCCGTCACCACAGCGCAGTAGTTGCTTGGGAACCAGCCTCGCACTCCATGAATCACACCATCCCACCACCCGCTCTCCAGCTGCGTTATCACCTGGATTATGTCCCCTTGGCGGAAGCTCAGGCTCGTTCGGTCGTCGGCATCGTAGTCGTAAAGTGCTCGCACGTACAGCTGCCCGCCGGTGGACGTGCTACCTGCGAGCCCATTCATCTTGTGCCCTGGGTCCTCCGTTCCGCCCCGCACCTACTATCGCGGGCGGCTTTCACGACGCGCTGTCCCTGTGCTGTAGCGGTGGAGGTCTCCAGGAGGCAGGGGCAGCAGGCGGCTTCGGTGCGTTTCGCGGCGGCGGCCTGGTATGCGGCCGGGAGGTCAGAGCAGTCGCAGTGAGCGGCGGAAAGCAGGCGTAATGTGGTCGGCGCTGGAATGCAGACGACGCTCCTGCGCTCACTGCTGTCTCAGTATCGCAGTGGGATTCGTGCACGATGTCTCTGCCCTTGCACGAAGCAGCGCTGCTGGAGCGTCTTTGGACCGTGCAAAGGGTCTCAGCCGCCAGCAATCCTCATATGTGTTTCTCGTCCAGAGCGCGCTTTTACGATATGAGTGGTAGAAGCAATGGGGAACGGCGTCTACTCCCGTGCTTCAAGGGCGCATAGGCGACTCTCCGTTTCAATTGGAGGACGGGATGCTGCAGGCTCTCCAAGCAGCGGCCGGTCACGTGGGGATTCGCAACAAAGCAACAATTCGACGGCAGGGCGGTCTGCTACACGCTTTAGAGAAAGAGGTACATTGTGCAGAGATGAGAAATGGCGCAGATTGCGCATCAATAGTGCCAATCTGGCCTTTCGGCCCAACCGAGTCAGAACTGGGTATACTACTTTTCTACGACGACGATTGCATTATCAAACAACCACAATATGCCGATCGCCTCTATACCAAAATAGCTCCCAGAAGCATATTGATAAGATGACCGCACCCGACAAGCGACAATATCTCGTGGTGACTACTCAGCTGTCCAAGGCATAAAGCACTGCGCTCGCGCCCGCCGGCTTTCTCCAACAGGGTAAAACACCAAGTCAGCCAAAGCACTTATATCACGCATTCCCTCTGTGACAGACAGGGAACGCTTGTTTTAATGCAGTTTATAGCCCATCTTGCCATCTTCCACAGCATGGTGGGGAAGACATCATGTATGCGCCCCATTCTCTCACACCTTGAACGTGTCAAAGTGACCCTGTATGTGGTTGTTGAATGTATAATAATGAATCCTTTGAACGTAATCAAAGAACCAGGTCGCAAATCGAGTATGAACGCAAGCGAGACGGGCACTGCTGAGGTGACGCAGCCAATACTTAGAACTACCATGAGAGCGCACCTCATGACTATTGCAAACGATTCTGCCAATCGATCATGCTAGTAGGGTAGCTTCTTGCTTTTCGCCGGCGGCCTGGGTCCTGGGAGAATGGTGCATACCAGTGGGACTTGCCTTCCAGATTCCAGAACTGCCTGTTGTGATGAGCAGATGTTGTTCTGAGGCCATGTCCTCCAGAGCCCTTGAGGGTCGGCTAATGAGCCCTTGTGCGGAGGTTTGGACGGTCTGGGTTTCTGGCAAGGTCGTTCCATGGACTTGGAGGCGCTCAATCTGGTTCGACATGGTTCACGACATGGCTCATGCTCTCTTGGAATCTCTGTCACATCAACTCGTTCATAACATCTGCCTCGGTAGAAACCGTAGAACATGGTCAGCTCTTCGGTGATAATCAAACATCCAAGTATTTCATATTTGTTCTTCTACGACGTCACGAACCTCTTGGTGTCAGAGAAAGCGAAGGCCAGCCCGAGTGGTACGGCACATTTGAGTTTTGGCTTGACTCGTGACAACGCTAGCAAGCGCGTGGATCATATGGGGAACGAGCTTCCGACGCTTTAAAATCATGCCGGAAGTGACTGTTGCTGTGCCGAAGATCTAGCCAGCACCATCGTGAAGATGTTACTCGTCGTGCCAATAATAATGTGCCATGACGATGGCGTTGAAGGCGGGAAAGAGATCCGCTTCGCAAGCCGGCTGCCGCGAGGGAGGGAAGAAGCAACCAGGGTCTGGATTCGCTGTTTGTTTGATGATGAGTATGTACGTATCTTGTCTTTTGCAACTCCTCAGAATCGGTGTGCTTGATGAAGAAGTGACATGACCAGACAAGTTTATTTAGATTAGACTTTGCCGCGATGTCGTGCACGGAAGGCTGCTGCAGTTGGGTCGAGTTGCCGGTGGGATAACAGAAAAGAAAAGAGATTCTTTGGGCAAGAAGCGCAAGGCTGTTTAGTCGAATGTGGGGTATTCATCAGATTAATAATCTCTTTCGATTTGCATACTTCATGACCTCCAGTGCTCCACCACTCCTGGGCCCAGGCACGCTGCTAACAAGACGCAGCAACACGGGCATGGGCAGGACCATCTACGAGAGAGAGCAGGCGTGATCGCATAACGGTCTGGAAAAGCTGAGAATCCTCGGGAGAAGTAGTGCCGACATGTGAGCATTCATTACTTCGTCTGTCGTATAGAAAGGTGGGGCAGGCGAGATGGTATTCTATTGGTGTGGTGGAAATATCATTCTGAGCGGTGCCACGACCGGCTCTGAAATCGGGCTAACTTAGTTCTACGGGAGATTTGATCGGTCGCAAAGCAATCAGTATTATTGCCAAGGCGTCGCGCTCGGCGTCCAAATGGCGCCAGATCGCATTGCATTGTTTTCGAATGCTGTTATAAGTCGTCTGTTGACCTTTTTGCTGGTCGGTGTTGCTGTCGAAGTTGTGGGACAGTGTACAAACTACCAAGTGGTGTCTACCAACTTTCGAGGAGTTCGATCGGGAGCTAGGCTGAAGCTGCTTGTCTAGCCGAAGCCGTGCTGCTGCTCTTCCCCGATCCGCGAAGAATAGTTTCACCGTCCAAGTCACAAAACGATCAAGCGAAGTGGGGCCATGGCGAGATGGAACGTTCCCCGAAGCGCCTATGTTCCCAGGACAGCGGCCGCTGGGCTGGAAAGCAGGTGATCCGCGGCAGATTTGTGCGAAACGTGAGGAACGCCAAACGAATCTCAAATGTGCCTCACAAACAGCCAGCAACACCCTGGAGGCGGCTGTCGGATTGGTGCAGCTATGTTGGGCGTGAATGCAAAGCATTTCGAGACGCACTGGCAAGGAGTTGATGGAGGGCAGGATTCCGTCATGCAGAACAACCAGACAACCAGATTGCTGCTCCGGAAACACGAGTGCATGACGCTGGCGACGGTGTGTGTGGGACCGGCACCGGGACCGTTGGGGACATAGTATACTTTGTTCTGGTCAGCCCGATTGAGCATCGCGTGGTTGGCAAGATGGGTCGAGATGCATGCGTGCGTGCGTGGCAAGGTCATGTGGCGGTGAGCAGTGCAGTGATGGCAGACGCGTTTGACTGTAGATGGGTGCCGCAAGCAGTGGAGTAGTATTGGACTTGCGAAGCGTGGATAGCAGTGAGTATGTAGCACGGCATCAGCAGCACTATTAGATTCACCTCCAAGTGAGCGGCATTATTATCCGGGGTTTCGTCAGTCACACTTCACCCCGCGGTCGCGGGGATTCAAACTATACGTAAAATCGCACTTTCTTAGTAGGCTATACGTAAATCTCGATATAATCGTATATTCCAGTCCTATTCGGATATCTAGGTAGGTGCAGTAAGGAACCGCGAGTCTAAATATTATATATATAGCCTTATCCGAGTATATAGTAGCTATAGACCTTACTGCCGCCGTTTTCTTATGTAATCCTTGGCAGGCGCGTCTACCTTATTCTAAGGCGCGTACCGCGTAATAGAGGCTAAATCGGGCTATCGGCTAAGAAGGTTAGTATTCGCGCACTCTATAAGGCTAAGAAGAGAGGTCCTACGGTCGTAATTTAGTTACTAATATACCGGAAATCTACTGTTTCTTGTCTCTTATTCTACTTATGTTTAGTCTCCTATTATATATACTCTATAACATTGCTATCGTCGAGTTTTACGTATAGCCTACTAAGAAAGTACGATTTTACGTATAGTTTAAATCCCTAAGCGTAGGCAAGGGGTAAAGTAGGCTAACGCAACCCCGGATATTTCTAATAGCCTAAGTAGGATGCTAACACGGAGTGTAGCTAGCTAAGGTCTGTAGTCTGTCTACGTACCTACGCCTAGTCTAATATAAGCTACGCGGCGGCGGCGGCGGAGGTAGAGGCGTAGGCGGTAGGAAATACTATATCTATAGTAACTTAATACAAACATGTCGCACGCACTCCGATTCGACATAATTGTATAGCTAGAAGTTAAACGTAGTGCGGTCGACGAACGACCTATCTAGTACTATCCGAGGCTCTATTACTACCTCCTTTTAGGCGCCCCGCTCTTATAGGCTGCTTAGACCTTCTAACAACCTATGTTTCTTCCTTCTATAAGTAACTCTCCTTACATTATCTTGTACTATACTGTATTTAGGTTAGCGGTTTAAGCGAAGCCTATAGAGGAGCGCCTAAAACTAAACCGTTCGTCCTCTATATAATTATCTATAGGATTTTAGCACTTTTTAATATATAGGATAATAACTATATTAGATAAAGACAAACGCAGAAAAAGGGTCCTACGCCTTAATAAGAAGATTATATATTCCTATATAAAGCATTCGCTAACACAAGTACTATAGGCTCTATCTTCTATAGGCTCTATCTTCTATATACTAAGGCTAGTTATTTATAGAATCCTTTTAAAATACGAAATTTTAGCGGCTCTAAGGCTAAGACACTATAACAACGTATTGTCTTTATATACTACGATAGCCGAGGCCCTTCTAGTAGACGATAACTTAGACCTCTAAGTGTCTAGATTATTATTATTAGCGGGAGGCATATATTACAGAGCTAGAGGAAAAATGCTAAGACTTTTATCGTAATCTACGTTTCCTCGTAGTAGGTAGAACGCGACAATAACGATATATCGTATCTTATCTTAGAATTAGAGGGCCTTATCTATAGTATTTAGAAGGACCTCCGTGCCTTTATATCCCTATCTTATAGTAGAGATGCTAGGTTATAGGCCTCGAGGGCAAACGACTGTTTTACTAGGCTATTTTAGCGCGGTTTGTTATTAGGCTTATAGGAGAAGAATTAGTTAGGTATCGTTAAAATCTCGTAAAAGTCTAATTAAAGCTTAATAAAAGTCTTCGTTACGTAATTCTTTATTCCGCAAGCCTAAATAGAGGTAGCTCTATTATATACTTCGCCCCTCGCCTAGCTCGGGGATTTAAGTTAAACGTAAGATCGCGCTTTCTATAGTAATCTATACGTAAATCTCGATAGAAACGCTCGCTAGGGGTACTACTATCGGAATACAGACTAATAGTTAGCTTATAGATAGATGTGTAGAAATAGAATTATTAACTAAATAGCGTAGATATTAAGGTAGTAGCCGTCTTAGCGTATACCTAGCGTTAGTTATATTATCTACTACTTTAAAAGTAGGCCTATAACTACTACCTATACTAGAGTAAATAGCTAGGTATAGTAGCTACTATCCTATATATCTTTAATTTTTACTAGATAGGCCGTACTATAAGTTGCTATTGCCTTGCCTTTATATCTAGCCGACTTCTTTAGTACTTTATAGAAATATCTCTTTTTCTAAGTATCCTTCGGCTAGTAGCGAGGATATAGTAGATAAGGCTAGAGTTATAGAAATAGGTTCTTAGCTAGTACTACTTCTATCTATCTAGGCTAGTTATTAGAGAACCGTAGTTTGTAACTAGTTCGTAAGCTCCTCGGTAGCGCTACGTACCCGATTCGTAGGGCTTAGCGTACTATAAAAACTCTTTCTTTACTCTCTCTCCTTTTAAGTCCTTATAAGAAGGGTTATATTAGCAGGTAGATAGGGTAGTAGTAAATTAGTGTAGTATTCGATAGAGATCTAAGAGGAGAGGGAGGAAGGCAGGCTAGTTAGCCTAACGCTAAGTGCTAAGCCCTGCCTAAGGCATTAGGACCCTAGCTTTACTCGGTCTAGTTATATGCTAATTACGTATAACCTCTAATATACGCTTCCCTTCTAAAGGCCGCGCCCTCGTAGCCTGTCTATGTTCTAACCTAATCTCTATTGCCGCTAACTTAGTAGATTAACTAAGCTGTTTAGCCGCGCTAAATTAAACGCTTAACTACCTAATTATATAACTATATTAAACCTTACCTTCTAGCATAATATCTAACTCCGACTATGCTATCCTTATATATAATAAAGTAATATATAACTAATAGAATTAAGGACTATCGACTAATTATAATACGAGCGCACCTTCCCTACTATAATAGGCAGGTATACGGGGTATTACAGCACTGCCCCCGTTCTAAGTAATGTCGTTCTAAGTTCTTTGCGTCTACTCTAAAAGACCTAGAAATGTCCGCTTCCGAGGGTTGTTCTTATTATTACGAGGGCTATTATTGTTCGTAGTTTCGCTAGCCCTAATTAGTTAGGTTTAGCAGCCTTTAATTATTAATTAATCTTATCCTTTTAAAAACGCAGTTCGTCTAGTTTCTATAGGTAAAGGCTATTATAAGTACAATAGTTAAGGTTCGCCTCGCTTAAAGGATCGGAAAGATCGAGGAGTAACCTATTATCCGCAAGATCGACCCCGGCTAGCTTAGCTCTATAGTTTTTGCCCTTAGTTAGCCTAGTTAATCTTTTAAGCGGCTTAAAGTTTTAATTAAACCCTTAGTAGGTTCAATCTTTTAACCTAGTTAGTATAGTACTTTAGGCTCGTAGTATAGGTAAGGTTGTGTCTATAGGCGTAGTAATAATAGCAAGTAATGTTAATAATAGCGGCGCTAGCCGTCTTAGCGCTAACCTTACCTTGCTTCTAATTTCCTTCTTTAACTAACAACTTAGCAATACCGTTACTAATATAGCTATATCCTTCCTTTCTTAAATAGCAATACACTCCGCAATACCGTTACTAATATAGCTATATCGGCTGCTAATACACTACTAGCTCGTAGCGCGATACTATTATCTTTATTACCGTTATTCGTACGCGCGCGCGCGCATCGCTAATTGCCTAGGCTTCGAGGCCCTATAAATAAATAAGCAAGAGGTAGAGCCCTTAAAAGAGCAGCGACTAATTAACGCGTCGTAGCGCGCCTAGTATAGTCTTATTATCCTAGTTTGCCGGCCCCTAATTAGTTAGCTAATAGCACCCTAGGGGTGCTATTAATCCTAAGCCTTAGTAATATTACGAGTTTTTAGCCTTCTTCTTGTTCTTTACGATAGTCTAATACTTATCTAATAACTCGGCTATATCCTCGAAGGAGTCTTTAGCCTCCTACGAGTCCTATTTAGGTAAATAGCCCTGCTATCTTAAGAGGTATTCCGTCTTGCCTTACCTAGTCCGGTGCTTTAGAATATATTCTATAGACTATAGCTCTTCGCTATTAGCTAGTATATCCTCGGATTTAGTAGGCGTTTTATCCCCTTCGCGTAGGTAGTATAGCTTAAGGAGGGATATATAGAAGGTATTATAGATAGTATAATAAGGTAGAAGCTATAGTTAATAGGCCTAGGTGCCCCTAGGTTCTCGGATACGGAAAGGGCCAATATACCTTAGTGCGAGTTTAGGCCTTGTTTTGCTATTAGGCGAGGGGTGTTTGCGGATACGTAGGTTCTTCGTACTAAGCATAACTATGTCGCCCTTCCGGAAGGTTATTAGAAGGTAGTATTTATTATAGTAGGCCTTCTAATAGGCCTAGGCCTTTGCTAGTTTGTTAGCTATCTTAGCGTAAATTTCTCGTATCTTCTAAACCCTCTTAATAGCCGCTAGTGTCTTAGGTTAACCTTAACCCGCTTCCCTTTCCTTACGCTCGGCCTCGAGCGATAGGGGGTCTTATAGTAATATAGGGTTGCTGCCTATTATAGCGAAATAAGGGGAGACCTTAGTAGATAAGTAGACACTATTATTATATACGAATTTAGCTAGTTATAGGAGGTTAACCTAATCCTCGGGGTTCTTATTAATGTAACTACGTAGGTACTGCTATAGGGTAGCATTCTGCCTCTCGGTTTAGCTATCTGTCTATAGATAGAAGGCTATAGATAGCCGATGCTTAAGTCTTAGCTATAGGTATATCTTACTCTAATAGTAAGATATAAATATCGAGCCCCGGTCGGAAACTATCCCCTTAGGGGTTCCCTAATAGCTGCAGAAGATGCTATTCTATAGTAACTTAGCTAGGTTAATAGCCGTCTAATCCTTTCGAGCGGGGATATAGCGAGCGCCCTTAGTAAATTGGTCTATAACGACTAGTATAGCGTTAAAGACGTCTTTGCTTTCTCTTCGCTTAGTAGGGGGAAGACCTATAATAAAATCTATTATAAGCTCTGCAAATAGCTTATAAGGGATTAGTAATAAGGACAACTCGCTAAAAGGCTAATGCTTTAGTGCCTTAATACGTTAATATACGGCATACGTGTTTACGTAGTCCTTTATATCCCGCTTACTATTTAGCTAGTAGTATATATATAATAGTAGCTCGTACGACCTCTCTATACTATAGTAACCGGCAAGCTTACTATTATAGTGTCGCTTAAGAAGCTCTTATCGGATCGAATACTCGGTAGGGACATACAATCTGCCCTTATAGCGTAAATAGCTATCGGCATTAATCGACTAATTCTTGCTAGATCTAGTCTTATAGCTACTTCTAAGCTAATCTATATAAGCAGTAGCAAAAGCGTCCCTTTGCTAAGTACGTAATAGCTTATTTATAAACGCTCGTCTATCCCCTTCTATAAGTTCGCTTAATAGCACCCTCGCTATCTTGCGTAGTACGTACTATATGCATCTAGTAGTACTAGCAGCTAGAACTACTATAACCTCTTCTATAGTGCTATCGCTATATAGGCTATTACTATAGATAGCAATGTCTTTAATCGAGTTATTATAGCTCGAGCGATCTACGTCCTTTCTTTTAACGTATACTAGAAGAACGACAACTCCGCTATAGTATTTGTTGCCGCCGCGGGGTCCGGAAGTCCGCTTATTCTACGCTTGCTTTATAGCAAGATCTATAGCAATCTTATACTATAGGGTTAGAAACAAAGAATTAATGTGTTAGGTCTCGCTATTGTAATTAGGTCGCCTCGATAGGCTATTAGTAGGGTTACTTACGCCTAGCCGATATAATATATTAAAATCAAACCTAGCGAGGTAGACGGCCTATCTAGCCTATCGACCTATAACCCTAGTAACCTTAGTAATACTACGGAGGTTGTTATAGTCTGTATAGACCTATATTATATATTAAGCCCTATCGAGGTAGTGCCTCTAATACTTAAAGGCCTCGATAATAGCTAAGACCTCTTGCTCGTAGGTCTCGTAGCGACGCTTAGCGTTAATTATCTTCCTTAAGAAGAAGGCAATCGGGTGCTAATAATAGTCCTTATCCGATTGTTATAATATAATAGCTAATATAGCAAACTATAAAGCGTTAGTCTTAATTCGGATCTGCTTGCTTAGTACGAAATAGTACAATAAGGGGACTTTAGTAAAGCGTTGCTTTAGACCGTTAAAAGCGGCTTATGCTTTATTAGTCTATTTGAACTCTCTAGTAGGGTTGGCCTTAGTTTTAGTAAGCTTAGTTAGTAGCATTATATGCCTCGAATAGCCCTTAATAAAGCGGCGGTAGAAGTTAGCAAAACCGAGGAATAATTAAAGCTCTTTAATAGACGTAGGAACAGGCTATTCGGTAATTGTTTTAATCCGATTAGGGTTAGCCTTAATACCCTTAGTTAATACAAGGAAGCTAAGGAAGGCTACCTCCTTAGTAGCAAAGGTGCATTTAGAAGGCTTGCAATATAGTCTATAGGGTCGTAGGCGGTCGAGGACCTTACGTACTACGGCCTAGTGTTCTGCAATATTAGGTAAATAGGTATAAACTAGGATGTTATCTAGGTAAACTATATAGAGATAGTCTAATAGGCCTAATAAGGCCCGATTAATATAGGACTAGAAGGTTGTAGGGGCATTAGCTAGCCTAAATAGCATAACTAGGTACTTGAAATAGCTATAGCGAGTACGGAAGGCCGTCTTCTATTCGTCGCTCTTACGAATATAGATGCGGTAATAGGCGTCTTTAATGTCTAATATAGTATAGTAGTAGGCACTAGAAAGGCGATCGAGGGTCTTATTAATAAGCGGAAGTGGATAGCGGTCTTTAATAGTAATAGTATTAAGTCTACGGTAATTAATATATAGGCGTAGGCTACTATCCTTCTTTAGTACGAATAGGATAGGGGCGCTAGTAGGGCTGTTACTATACCGTATCCGGCTATTAGCTAGGTTTTCCTCTAGATACTTACGCAATATAGCAAGCTCTCGTTTACTAAGGTTGTAGAGAGGACTAAAAGGAACCTCCTTGCCCTCTATAATATTAATCTTATAATCCGTCTTTTTAAATATAGGCAATATCGATGCTAGGTAGTGTTTAAACACATTAATATAAGTCTCTCGAATAGGATCTAGTATACGAGCAAGCTAATTAGGGTCTATACTATTAGGAGGCATAGGTTTATCGTTATCGCTACTAAGTAAGTCGGCAGTCGGGTGCGCTAAGGTTAGGTTGCTAATAAATAGGACCTTAATGTTGTTAGGACACTCGCTAACGTTAATGTGTTTAATGTCTTCCTTCCTAGCGATTCTAAATCGCTACTATTAGCTGCCTAGATCTATAGCTACGGCGTAGTCCTTAAGAACAGGGTTTCCGAGGACAATATTAGATAGAAGGTTGTCTATATCTACTATATAGGCAGTAAAATCTAATAGGCGCTTATTGCCGAGATCGTCTTTTAGAACTATAGGAACATAATAGGCCCTATAGGTTAAGTGCTAGGCTTTATTAAACTAAGCAAGGGTTAGTAGGTTAGCCCTATTTAATTGTCGAAGCTCTAATTGCTTAGCTAGGCGATAGCTAATAAGGGCACTAACTGAATTTCCTAGGTCTAGCATAACAAGTTAGTCTTATAGTTAGTTCTATACGTATCCTATATAAGGTAGGTGCGTATAATAGCTAGCACAATGTCGATAGTTTTACGCCGTATAAGGCTAATAGTTAGTATAGCGCTTATTCTTTTTTCGAAGGTTAGCCTATAGGGGTAGCGTTAGCTGCTAAGAGGTGCTTTTAGTGCTTAGCGGCAGTACGGTCGATTCGGGCCTAGTCCTTAGGTTTGTCGTATTAGCCTAGTAGATAGCTAGTACTATTACAATTAAAGCACTTTAATCCGGTTAGGAGATTGCTATAGCTGCTGCTACTATTATTAGTTAAGCGGTTAGCATTATAAGGATACGAGCCCCTTCTACGGCCCCTATTATAGCCTCCTCTATATAGCCGCCGGCTACGGCCTCTTCTACGGTCGTTGTTACTATTCCTGTTATTAGCATTATTATTCTAGTAGGAACCTTAGTTTCCTCCGCGGCTACGGTTAGTAGTTAGGCGTATCTTAGATTCTAACTATTACTAAACCTATACTATACGCTCTATAGTTTCGACTTTAACTATAAATTAAATACATATAAGGTTAGCTTATTTAAATATATAGCGGCGGTCTAATTTAAGGATAAGCTCCTATCTAAGCTTTAGGCGTATTTCCGAGATCTATATAGAATTAGTCTTAGCCGGAAAGTCGTCTTTAAGGGTCTTTAAATAGGCCTTAAATAAGCGAGCCGATTAATTAGTCTTTTGTTTAGCTCGAAGGTACTAGTTCTAAGCGTATTGTTGCCTTAGTATAGGGTTTCTAAGGGTGTCTAGTATAATAGTTATATAGGTTTGCTACTAAACAGCGGTCTAGTTATTAAGGGAGTTAAAATAGTTATCCTAGGTACGTTTTAGGTCTCTATTAATATACTATATAGCATAGTATTGGCTAGTAACCGGCCCTACACCTATAGGCTAGTTTTGAGCCTATATAAGAGGCCTCCTTCTATAGAGTAGACAGATTATCAACCTCGTATAGCACATTGTTTATGTTACACTTCTACAATGCCTATGTTGTAGGGCTCTAGTTATTAGCCTAAGCGACAGTCTCGTTATCCTATCTTGCTAAACATAGCTGCCTATATTGCTATAGGTTATATTACCCTCGGTAGCCTATACTATTGCTATAAGTAGTAGTAGTGGTGTTAGTTTCCGTCCTTTATTAGAGCCGAAGGTAGGGCTATCTCTTTATATCTAACAGGTTCGGGTGTATTAAAGGTAGTCTCTAGGTACGAATAGCTATAACCGAAGCGAGGGTACGATAAGAGCCTACGATACGGACGATACCGAAGTATCTTAAGGGGCCGTTACGACAAGCAAAGAAACCTCTTAACGAGGGCATCGCTTTAACCCCGAAAAGCTGCAAACCCTTAGGACTGTTATAGCTTAGGGCCTAGTCTATAACTATAGCTAGCTTCTAAGAACTCGGCTCTAGGTCGAAGACCTATTTAGCACTACTTGCTCGAGATAAGCCCCGCCTAAGGAGGAGATAGACTAATTACCTATCGGCCTTGCTTGGTTTGCTAAGACTATCTATACGATAGCAATTTCTAGATTACAGGTCGGATACCTAGACAGTTCCCCTATCGACCGGGTAGATTACTTCGGGATTCGCTACCTCGTTCGGATAGTGCTTAGCCTTCTACTAGAAAAAGAAGGTCCCCGCCCTCTACCTAGCTAAAGGAAATAACAATAGTTAGTAAAGTAGCTAGTTTCTAGGATCTAGGTGTAAATAGAGATTGCAGTTCCTTCCTCCGAGCGGCTTTTGTCTAAATTTACTAATTTAAAGCTCCTAGGGGTGTCTAGGCGACCCCTAGGAGGCTAAACTCTAATGCTACCCTAGGGGTAACATTAGAAGAAAACAGCCTAGCATACTATTCTCTCGTATAGCAACATCGAAACAAACCAAACCTATAACATATACTAAAAACACTTTCCTATAGCATTTTATTTTAACTACTTTACGACAATCGAATAAGCTCTAGCTCTAGCGAAAACGAGCATTACGAATTAGCGGAATCTTCGGAATCTAATAACCTACTAGACCCTATTAACGAAGAAATTAGGCGACGACCAGTTGTTATAAGCGCTATCGAACTAGGGGCTGTCGAGCCTTCTACGCCCGAGGCCCTCTACAATGTCGTTATAAAGATAATTCAAGGGCAAACTAACCTTCTCCGTTAGAATAGGCGTCGCCCGCTAGAGCTAGGAAGTAGTAGGAACCCTTTGTTCGAAGGGTAGAACGCTACGGCGCACGTAGAACGCTTTAAGGACAACTTAGCCGAGTACGGACTCGAAGAGGAGTCGGACTAGTACAAGGTCCGGTCCCTTACGAGGACTACTATTACTAAGCTTTACTAAACCCTTAGAACCCTAGTTAGCTACCTAGAAAAGGACGACAAGTCTAATGCCGACTAGGAGGTCTTTAAATAGGCCTTTATAAGGGAGTATCGGGATCGCGATAGCCGTCGCATTAAAGGCAGTCGTACGTAGCTTAAGAACCTCTATATAGAGAGGCGTACCGAAGATAACGACCTAAAGGAGTACGTCCGCGAGTTTGTTAAGTTAGTGGACGGCATCGACTAGTAGGACCTCGAGAATTCTTAGAGAACGAGACTGCTCCTTAAAGGGTTGCCGTAGTCTACGGCTAAGCGTGTCTTCCGTCGCTATAAGCTTAGCGAAGCTAATCCTAAGACCTTTAGGAAGTATAAAGAGGTCCTAGAGGCTATTAAGGACGATATTAATAGCTCCGCCGATACAAAGAAGTTTATTTACGGCGAGGACCGGAATAACCTAGCCTAGGTAAGGAGCGATACCTCGGGAACTAGAGGGCCTAAGTTTCTTCCTAAATCGCAAAGTAGTCCTAGTACCGTAACTCCTACCGTTACTAAGCATTCTTAGGACGTTGCGGACTTAGCTAAATCCCTAGCCTAGCTCAACCTTAATACGAAAGCACTATAGCGAGTTAGGGAGGTTCTTAATGCTAGTATACTAAAGGATGTACTACTAGTCTACTAGGTCTCCGATCCTAACTACCCTAAGGCCCCTTTAGTTAACGTCTACGCTATACGGAAGATCTATTCTAACTTAGATAGCAAGTGCTAGATATACGGCGGTTTCAAACACGTTTAATTAGACTGCCCTATCTAGAAAGAGCTTCTTAAGAGGAAGCTCGTTATATAAGTAAATAGTCGGTTCTACTATATCGATACCGGCGATAAGATTAACTTCGAGTAGGATCGTAGAGCCCCGAAGCTGCCTTAACTTAGGAGTCTTCTAGAGAAGAAGTATAGTAGCAAGATCGAGTTTAAGGACACTAGGAACAGTACTCTCGCCGCTATTACTAAACGAGAAACTTAGAAGGTTAGGGCAAAACAGGTTAAGGAGCGGAGTAGTAATAGTACTACTAAGCCTATTAAAGTCAACTTTGTGTCTTAGGACCCGGACGCAGTTACTAATGTTTACGCGGTTACTAAGAACAGTATAGATGTCTACGCTGCTATAAGGTCCTAAACTTAGTCGTCCTAAACCTAGTCGTCCTAGGGTAAGGGTAAGAGCCCGTAGAACCCTACCCGCCCTAGTGCGGCAGCCCCTACTAGGATACTTAAGAAGCAGGCAGCTAATAAGGCTAAGAAACAGCGAGAATTAGTCGCTAAGACTAAGACACTCTAGACAGCCGAAGACCGTGCAGCCCGAGCTAGTATAGCCTCTCCGGAGGTCCTAGAGACTCCGGATATCGATATAGAGGATGCTACTACCGACCTTAGTAGTACCCTAGGCCTAGCTAACCCGCCGGCCTACAAACGAAAGTCAGCCGACCTAAAGAGCTTTCGCTTTAATAGGTATATAAAGAAGTATAGTGCCGGGCCTACTAACTCTTACGATATAAAGGCAAATGCTCTCTTCTAGGCTTTATAGTTCCTAGACCTTAAGTCTAACGTGTCTATAGGGGAGCTTCTAGTATACGGTTTACCTACTAACCTATTCTAGAGCCGGATTCCTAACGATACTACCTTTATAAAAGACCTTGCAGCCCTCTAACGTAAATAGGGGCGAGAGGACTATATCGACGTCTCTTCCCTATAGTTCCTTCCTAAATTTTCAGGGGCCTAGGAGTTAGCAGAAGGCGAATTAGTAACCTACGAGAGCTAGGAGACTATCGATAATGCTAACGAAGAGGGGATTAAGGAGATAGGCCGAGGGGATAATAATAATACCGACCCTGCTTCGGTTTCAGTTTCTATTAAGGCTGTCCGATTTATAGGCTAACAAATCGGTCGAGTAGGACCTCCTCGACCTAAGGAACTTTACTCTATCCCTAATAATATAGACCTTTCCGCAGTTACCCGTTCCTTTACCGTCGTTCCCGCTATCTATATTTAAGTTACTATTAGAAGCTATAGTTAGCAGTTGCTAGCAATACTTAATAACGGTTTAGAGTCACTTATTATAAGTAAGCGCTAGGCTAAACAGCTCCGACTGCTAATAAATAGAGATATTTCCCTTAGTATATAGGGAGTAAACAGGGAGGTTGCGCTAGTAGGTACCTACTACAATATTATAGTAGACGCTTTCGGTATATGCTTTTCCTTTACCTTCTAGATTGCCGCTAACTCGAATACGCTAATTATTCTAGGTCGACTATAGTCTCGTATAACCCGGGGTGTCTAGCGTAACTGCGACGATAGCTCCTAGGAAGGAACTATCGCTAACTAGAAGGGCAACCGAGTCGTATTCACTAGTTATGTCGGAAACACTAGCTGCAAGTCCTACGAGGATATCCTTACTGCTTCTAAGCGCTCTTCGGGAAACGCTATAGCGCGGTTGTAAGACCGGCAATCTGCGCTATAAGTTAATATAGCTTAAATAGGTTATATCTAGAGGTGCGCCGCTCCGTACGATAAGGCTAGTTTCTAGGCTCTATACTAAGGAGACGAATGCTCGAAGCGATAGCGAGCATAACAGTACAACGACTACCTAGTATACGAATCTCGGTAATAATGCTATCGTAGGCATCGCCGCCGGAAGCGGATCTATCCGAATCCGAACTAACTAATTAGAACGCCGAGCTAATGCTACCCCGGGGGTATTATTAGGAATCTAACGTTTTCGCCGGAATTATAAATTAGGATTACTAGCTATATACCTACCGACTAAAGGAGACTTCTAATAAAGTTTACGCGCTATTCTATTACGCTAATCTCCGGGCCTAACGTTAAAGAGAGAGAGCTCGGGTATTACGAGCGGTTAGCGTATATACCCTATACAAGAGGGTAGCTAACAAGATTAAGCCCGTAAAAGGCAGCGTACACATAACCGATAGGTCTAATCCTAGCGGAAATCCTAACTAGCGACAAAAGTGCCTTAACCGCGAAGCGATATTAACACCTAGGGATAGTCTATACGACTAGAGGTATATTACTAAAAAGTTCTCTACTATTCCTAGGGGATCGAGGCTAACGCCGGAGAGACTAGCGAACATTAAACCTAGCATCGAGCTTTCGGATCTTAAACTAGATTTGCTATACGAGCTTCTATATAACCGCGAAGCCGTATTAGCATATAACTTTACGTATCTAGGTAGGATCAACCCGGAGGTTGCCCCTCTATAGAGGATCCGAACGATCGAGTATAAGCCTTAGGCTTACCTAGGGTTTAAGCTAAACCTAAGCCTAAGAGGTATAGTTAAGGATATAATACGGCAGCGTATAAAGGCTAGTACCTTAGAGCCTTCCTATGCCTCGTATCGCAACCTATACTTCCTAGTTTAGAAGAAGATAGCTCCTAGGGAACTAAAGAAGTACCGTCTAATTAACGCTATATAAAAGTTTAACGCAGTTACGATTAGAGATACTAACCTCCCTCCGGAGACTAATAGGTTCTCGGAAGCTTTTACTAACTGTATTGTAGCCTTACTAGTTAATGTTTTCTCGGGCTACGACTAGATCCCTCTCTATCCTAATAGCCGCGACCTTACTAGTTTCGAGACACCTCTTAGGCTATATAGATAAACTACCCTTCTATAAGGGGCAACCAACTCCGTAGCCTAGTTCGTTCGCATTATAAACTAAGTCCTCGCGGCCTATATCTCCTATATAGCGATGCCTTTCCTCGACGATATCGGCATTAAGGGCCCTAAAACTAGGTACGATAATAAAGAAGTAGAGCCTAGCATCTGTAGGTTCTTTCTCGAATATATTTAGAACCTCGATAGTGTCCTCTACGACCTAGAGCGAGCTAACCTAACGGTATATAGGGAGAAGCTTTAGCTCCTATACAAACGAATAAACATTATCGGGTTTGTAACTAATAAGAACGGCCGCTATCCTAACAATATACGGGTTCTAAAGATTGTATCCTAGCCCGACCCTACCTACTAGAAAGATGTCCGGATCTAGCTTAGAGTAGTCTCCTACTTCCGTATCTAGGTCGAAAACTTTACGTTAGTATATAAGCCTCTATACGCCTTGCTTAAGAAGGATATAGAGTTTAAATAGACCTCCGTTTACTAAGCCGCTAAGGACAAGGTTACTAAGGCACTTATTAGCGCGCCTACGCTTACCTCTATTAACTACTCGGAAGGCGTAGGTCTACTAATTGTTGCTATCGACTCGAGCGGGGAAGGCTACGGCGAGATACTAATATAGTATAATCGTAAGGAGCCCTCCTTACGTTACCCTATCCGGTACGAGTCTAGTCTATAGAAACCTATCGAGGCCCGATACGATACTAGTAAGCGAGAGTGCCTTAGTGTCTATAAGGCTCTTAAGAAG